AATTTTTCGATTGGACCAGCGATTGAACCATGGACAACGGACTGCTTGCGCTTCCTCTCGTCTTGCTTCTTGTCCAGCTCGCCAGTAGTGCGACCTCCCGGGCCATCTCCATTCCAAGTACACGGTTCAACTTTGCCGCGCAAAGCGAGGCCGATTGTCTGTACAAGTTCCGCTTTACAAAGCAACAGATCATAGAGCTGGTGCTGTGCTAACTCCGCGATAGCAAGCAAGCGGACTTCAACATGACCCAACGAGAAGCATGACAATAGGAGGCGGCTAGTCCTCAATAAGCCAAACGTGTTGGATACGAAGCAAATGCTGAAGTGAGAGTCGGGATCACTAGCGGCATACAAAGATCTATACTACTATATCTAGAGAACAATGTGGCATGTTGTGCCTTTCATATCTATAGAAAGATATGCAACCGACGTGATCCCTAAGCTATGGCTAGCCACCTAGGTTCCAAGAACCTGAGCTGTGTGTTGGTGAATCATGCAAGTCCTTTGACCAAGCAGGATATCGCCGATATACTACAGGTGCGCTTGCTTCGCTTGCCCGACGTCATCATCACAGCTAACCGCTACCGAGCGGAGCCGGTAGAGGCTGTATGCATCATGCTCAACCGACTCGCTTGGCCCCATCGTCTTGGCTCCATGGTCGAAACTTTCGGGCGTAGCCGCGTATGAGGTCGTCGAAGCGCTTGCGGCACCCGGTAAACGTGACGTGCTCACCGTGAATCTCGCGCATGTGCTCGGTGACCTCTTCCCAGCGTGCTATCGTCTGTCCGAAGGGAGCGTCGTACGGGGCCACGTTGATCACCTCCTTCAAGAGATCGACGTCCGTGGCCACGGAGAAGCGAAACGTCTTCTTCGTCTTGGTAGGCGGCTCGTCGCTCATACGTTTTGCAGGTCAAACAACGAATGGCGCTCGTGTTATCGATATCGGGATAGAGCGGCTGGAGCCTGATTTTTTTGGTCCGAATTTCATGTTTCGGAGCCCTCGGACATGTCACATGGGTAACATAATCAAGATATCTTGGTAGCAAAAGCAGTCTAATGGGTTGGCCAGAATGTATTATACGACCCTGGGACCCGGGGTCCCAGGGGTCCCGGACCCCACGTAAACGTTCTTATCAGGATAAATCGAATCATCGGGACGATCGCAATCGAACACGCCCAATCCGATCCCATGACCAGCGAAGCAGACGGTGTGCCTTGGGCGCCGCGGGCGTATGCGATGGCGATTGATGCTGATCGAAAAGTCGTCCTGTACGTCGACGGCAAGTCCATCGAGCTCCCAGTGTCCGACGTCGTCACTGCTGCCCTGGTCGCGCGTCATGGCACCAACACGATCCCCGCCAAAAACATCCGCACGGTGTTTGTCGGTGGCCTTCCGCGCCGTCTAGTGAAAGACCGCCTTGTACCTGAGGGCCCGTACACCGTGCAGTTGTCCCACCTCGCCCTGGACGCAATTGGAAGCGCACAAAGTCTGGAGCCCATGGACGCGCCGCCTCGTGGGTTCTTTGGGCGTCTCTTCGTGTGCCTTCCATCGCGCTACGAAGGCGGCGGCATTGCTGTAGACTCGGATTGCGTGTTTGGAGTAAGAGACTCCGCCGCTGACGGAAGCACCAAGATCCAGATGTCGCCACAGGGTCTCCTCGCCGTGTATGCGTCGACGCCCGTCACCGTGTCGCCGATTACACGAGGCGTCCGTGCTGTTTTGATCTTTAACCTTGTGTACAGGGACCCATTGGTGCACTCGCGCTGTGGGCCGCCGACGGAGGCCGAAGCTGTCGCTGCGTGGATTCCGGCATCAGCGTTCAAGTTTACAGCGTCGTTCTACGGCAGCTTGCTGACCCAGCCATCGACGTCGCTCGCGTTTGACGAGCTTTGCGCCGCCGACATTCGCTTCGTCGCGGCGGTCGCGGCGTCCAAGAAGTTTGACATTGGTCTCGCCCGCTACATGCCCAGCGGATTGGTCGCGTACGCACCGTGGCCAGCGTGCAGGGTGCCACAAGGCGTCGTTCTCGGTGCGTCGCGCATCAACATCTCGTTGCTGCTCGGCAAGCGTCACTCGGCGTGTTTTGTGATGTGGGAAAAGCGCTCTCGGTTCGATGTGATCGACTTTGACGGCGCAGTCGCGGCGCTGGAAGCGGCTGAGAACGACACGGACGCCGATCTGTGGGGCTACAGCTCCTTCGAGGCCTTGGTCGAGGGGTGCTTAACGTGGTACTCGGTTCAAAGCTGCTCGTCGACTGTGATGCAGCGCTTGACTGCGCTTCTCTCGCGCCTCGGCAGCGTCCACCTCGTCGACGTGTTGCTCAATCGGTTTCGGCGGCCAAGTCCAACGAGCATTGCTGGCATTGCACCGTGGATGCAGCAGCAGCTCGAACGCTACGGTTGGATCAAGCTCTTGAAAGCACTGAAGATTCTTCTCGACGACGCGCTGAAGACCGAGTCGCTCGCGTTGCTCGCGAGCCTCGCGGGTGTTAGCGCGGCGCCCATGTGTCAGCCGTTGTCAGCCCCGTTCGCACTCGAGTGCTTTCGGTGTTTGCTGGCCACGCTGTGCAAGTCTCTCGCGCGATGGCACTGGACAGTGTCCGACAGGGTGGAGTACCTTTCGTGGGTCATGCTCCTCGACGCACACGTCGACCAAGCAAGCAACTTGGACGATGGCCGTTGGCTCTCGGGACGACTCCCGCTCTCCGTCATCGAAACCATCGAGACGTTCGTCGGTGCGCCGACAACAATGGACCGAGAGACGCTTTTGACGCAGCCAACGTTCGAGGTTGTTGTCCCGGCTTTGGAGCGGGCGCTACGCCAAGTGGCCACGATCCATCGCCCGATGCTGCACCGGCGCTTACTGTACTGGAAGCGACAGCTCGACGAAGACAATTGTTCGCCCAGCTCGGACTCGGACCACGAGCTCGCGTCGGCAACTATCGCGATGCTGCGCTGGGCACAACGCATGGAGCCGAGTCGTCCGTGGACCGAGGTGCTTGCACTGTGTGCATCCAGGGCGTCCGTTCTTGCCGTTCCAGCGTTTACGGAGCTTGCATCGACAACGACGACGTCACCGCAGATGCTCGACGCCATGGCCGACGCCGTCCAGGTGACGTTCGCCGAGCCATGGACCAAGCGTATCACAAAGCAGCTCGACTACCGCTACGAAGGCGATGTGAAGACAGCTGTGGTCACTGATGCCTTTGCATTCTACGCCCGATTTGCACCGCACCGAATGCAAGCGTTCGCGCAGACGTGGCTCCAACACCCGTCGGGGATGGCGTGTAGCTCCATCTACCACCTCCTCCAAGCAAGCTTCTGGGACAACTACGACGACACCGGTGGTGTTTTAGCGCTTCTGCGGCGATGTGCCATGGATCGGGCGGTCAAGGCGATCCAAAACGGCCGCGATGCAGTCGAGAAGGAAAAAGAGCAAGAGAACTATGCGAGGACGGGATGGCACCAGAACGACGACGAAGAGGAAAATGACGACGACGAGTACGACGATGAGGTAGCAAGAGAAGATACGAGACCGTCTGTGGTTCTGGCCTTCTGCGTATGCGGCAGCAATTACCTCGAGCGCTCCCACAGAAAGCGCAAGTCAGTCTGCGACCTCAAAACTTCGCGCGCAAAGCGCTCACAAAATGTTGCTATCGAATAAGTATACTTCAACTAATCAATTTTCTAGTACATGCTAGCAAGGTCATAAAGTTTATGGATGCTGGTAAATGTTCAATATGTTCCATATCAAACGCAGTTCGTCGTAGCCTACGCTCGGCACCAAAATCTTACCCTAAACCTACCCTAAGCGCTTGTCCGCGTATTCGACACAAATACGGCGGCAAAGCGAGTGAATCAATCAAGACAAACACACTTCATTATGAGCTTGTCGGTAACACCAGAGTGGGTGCTGTGCTAGCTGGACCGACACGACTGGAATGCATCGGCGCTCATTTTATTCATTTAAAGAGGCAGGAATACCTGTATCATTACATAGTCTATCCTTTTTAATACCTCGATGTACTCTTTCTTTCGATTCCAACCAGAACCAGAAGCATGCGCAGTGAGCACGACCTCGAGGGCTGTAGCATTAGCAGCGAGAGCTCCGGCGACGAGGACTTGGTGTATGAAGCCGAGATGACAGAAGAGCAGCAAAAGGCCCTCGAGCTTGTCGTTGCTAGCTCGGCTAGCCCGTACAACTATGACCTCCACCTGCAGGCCATTGCCGCGCTCTCGGGCGATCCGATGCTCGCGTCGCAGCTCCAGACGCAGTTCAGCCGGTTCCACGAAGCCTACCCGCTGACGCTAGAGCTGTGGCAGCAGTACCTTGCCTTGGCGCCCGAGCAACTTCCCGTTGCGCTCAAGGACTATCTGCAACCGGCACTGTACTACATGTACATCGACTCGTTCGACGACAACTTTGACGATGACATGGATGAGGCATGGAGCACAGTGCTCACAGCACTGGGCCCGCACTGGTGCGAGAGCGAAAAGGTGTACGGTCTCTACCGGGCGCATCTTCGCGATACGATCACGGACGCCGCCAAGCTCTCGGACCGCCTCAAGTCCAGCTACGAAAGTCAGCTGGCAATTCCTCTCTTTGAAGGCAGCGACCGTGTGCTTTCCGAGTACCGTGCGTGGAGCGAATACGAGTCCCACAACGCGGACGCGCTCCAGAAGAGCCTGCACTCGATCTCTTCGACGCTGGCGCGCTCTAAAGGCCTGCTCCATGCCATGGCCGCGTTCGAGTCGCAGCTCGACCATGCGCCGGACGTCGCGACTCTTCAGAGCGTCTGGCTGCAGTACACGGCACACCTCACATCCAAGCTCAAGGTTGTCGGCTGCAGCATCCTTCTCAACGCCTTTGAGCGCGCGGTCGCGAGCGTGTGCCTCAGCAGTGTTCTCTGGGAGGCGTATCTGGACTTTTTAGCCGACCAGCGAATGTATGGCGCCATGGTGCAAGTGGCCATGCGCGCCGTGCGCAACGTGCCGTTCGCTGCATCGGCGTGGACGTCGCTGCTGCTCGCACTCGAGTGCAACGGCGGCTTTGACGCCTACGAGGTCATCCTCGACGAGCTCGAGGGCCGCCAAGCGCTCTCGCTGGACCAGCTTCTCGTCGTGCTGCTCGCCTACTGCGACACGCGTCGCCGGACAGGATCCAAGCGAGACCTCGCTGCCGCCTTTGCACGCTGCCAGGTACGAGCCTCTTGTCCAGCGCAAAGGGATGAGCGATGTGTTGTAGGGGCTTCTCACTGAGTACCCCGCGGGTGCTTCCATGCTGCGCATGTACGCTGCAAAGTGCATGGTGCCACCGCGAACACCGTCGGCGTGGACCAAACACGTGGCAGCGGCGTGGGACGCGATTATAGCCAACGACGGGACGCTCGCGACGTGGCAAGCGTGCATTGCCGAGAGTCTTCGCGCTGGCGCACCGCTCGACGTGATGCGCAAGTACTACAAGCGCGGGATTGCGGCCGTCACGGACTACCCCGGGGTCCTTGCGGAGGCGTATGTGCTTTTTGAGCGCGAGATGGGTGACTCGGTCCAAGACGTCCTCGCGGCACAGAAGCTCTGCGTCAAGACGCAAGCGAAGCAGGCTCACGAAGCACCAGTGGTCGTCGAGACTGCCGAGAAGAACGAGTCCAAGAAGCGCAAGCTCGTCGAAGCTGAAACGCAGCGCCAAGACGAGTACAAGCGTCAGCGCACGTCGGATGCCGACGGTCGTACTGTGTTTCTCTGCAACCTGGACAAGGCGACGACGAAAGAAGACCTTGAAGCCCTCTTCGCACCGGTGCTGCCATTTTCACCGCGAAATGATTCCTTAGCTCTTTTGCGTAGTGCGGCTCGGTGACAGACGTTCGTCTCTTGCTGCGGAACCGCGAAAGCCAAGCGTCGCGAGGCATGGCCTACGTCGAATTCGAGTCGCCAGTACCTCTGCCACCTCACCCAAACTCGTTGTCTCATCATGTTGATGTAGGAGAGCGTGCCGAAAGCGCTCGCACTGCACGAGTCGAGCTTCCAAGGAACGCCGCTCAACATCCAGCCGTCCAAGCCGACGGCGAAGCCCACCAAGTCGTCTTCACTTGCTCCTCAACGCAACAATCGATCTCATGGCAACGACATTCGTAGGGTCGTCGAGCGTGACGGCGTCTGGAGCACGAACCCCACGACGCTGTACGTGGCCAAGATCAATGACCAGGTCGACGAGGCCCACGTCCGAGCATATTTTGGCACAGTTCGTCCATGGCCATCGTATTCCGTGGCTCAAATGTGTCTAGTTTGGCGCGATTCGGGCTGTCATGATCCTTGGCCGCAAGAAGGAGAAGGCGGCGTATGCGCTTGTCGAGTACGAAGCCGAGGTGGGTGTTGCGTCGTTTAGTGATGGTGTGCTTTACATTACATTAGCAAAGCGTTTTGGACGCACTTGTCGCGGACGGTCCGCACGTGCTCTGTGACGGCACCGTTTCGCTCAAGAAGGCTCGGTTCAGCGTCGCCGATATGGTCGCGCAACAAGCAAAGTCGAAAGCCAACATGAAGCCAGCGCCAACCAAGGCGTTCAAGCCCAAGGCGACGACCAAGCCAGCGCCAGCAAAGCCCGATGACGTGGCATCCACCAAGCCTGCGACACGGTACGGTGCGGGGAAGTCAATGTGCTCGTTCTCACCAAGCACTTTTACGAACAGGATCGCGATGCCCCGTACAAGTCTCGTACCCCGTGCCCTCCGCGGCCCTAAAGCGTCGGTCCACCTCGAGGCGCGGCCAAAGGCGGTCCCGGCACCAGCAAAGATCAAGACGCCTCCAGCCGCGTCGGCTCAAGTTGAGCCGACCAAAGCCAAGTCCAACGCTGACTTTCGCAAGCTCTTTATGCAATCGTAAGAGAACCATGCTCGCACAGCGATTGTATTCAAGTTATAAACAAGCAACGGACTATATACCGCAGCTCCATTCGACATGAACGAAGCTCCATGGCGCCTATACTAGGGAAATGACTTCGCACACCGAGGGTAGTGGATACGCAATATCGCGCCATGATTGGTCGTTTTGTCGCCGTTTTGGCCAATGGCATTAGCGTCTGCCAGGTGGCGAAATTTTTTCATTTCGGTGTTTTGAGGAGGACGCAGCATGGCCGACGCCGAGTCGACGTTCAAGCTCGTGGACAAGCACGTGACGTCGATCCCGCCCGAGTCGACCTTTGACGCCGACTCGCCCGAGATCAAGGACGACATCCTGCGGCTCATCGTGCAGTACCTCCAGAGCGAAGGCTACACGAGCGCGTCGGCGACGATTCTGGACGAGACCAACGTCAAGCTCCTTGAGCGCAACCAAGAGCGCGACGCGATCCGCAAGATCAGCAAGGGCATCAAGGACGGCGACTGGGACCTTGTGGCCAAGATGATCCATAAGAATGCGAGCTTCCGCAAGATCAAGATCCACTCGCAGCAGGGTCTCGGCTTCCTCTACGCCGTCTGCAAGCAAGAGTACCTCGAGCTCATCGACCGCCAAGAGTACCAGAAGGCGTTCACGTACCTTACGACGCACCTCAAACCTATGGAGAAGATCAGTGGCAAAGTCGAATTCAAGGACCTCTGCTACCTGCTGACGTGCAAGTCGATCAACGAAGTCGACTCGTTCCGTGACTGGGAAGGCGTCGTCAAGTCGCGCGAGAAGCTCGCAGAGCAGCTAAAAGCCACGTTCGAGATGGACGCCGTGCCGTCCGACCAGTATGCCAACATTCCCGAGCACCGCCTCGTGCACCTCTTGCGCCAGAGCGTCGCGTACCAAATGGAGTTTAGCCGGTACCATCCGAAGACGATCCCAAAGGTCTCGACGCTGCTGCGCGACTTTGAGTGCCAAGTGCTTCCGAACGCGGTCAAGACGACGTTCGAAGGCCACACGCAGAACGTCAAGGTACGTTGCTTCGCATGCTCCATGAACGCTCATGAGAGGATGACCAGTGCGTCACATTCGTTGGGCGGGAAGGTGCTTTTATCGCATCGGGTGCGAGTGACAACGTCATCAAGCTCTGGTCGACCGAGCCATCGACGACCGACGACCCGACAATCAACAAGGTATGTTTATAGACGTCGACCTCGGACCAATAGACCAATAGGTGTCGTGGGACCTCCACGGACACTCGTCGCGCATCTGGTACCTCTGCGGCAACAACGCGGGCGACACGCTCTACTCTGCCTCGGGCGACGGTACGGTCAAGATCTGGAGTCTCAAGAACGCGACAGCCAACCTCGCGAGTGAGACGGAGCCGTCCGCGCTGCTGGCGTCGCACTCGGACTGCGTCTCGACGCTCACGGGCCACGTCGGCGACGTGTACACGGTACAGAATCCATCGCCGCGACGCGTGTGACGAGTAGCGAGTAGGTCAACATCCATCCGAACGAGACGCACTTGGTGACGGGCGGCTACGACCAGTCGGTGCGCCTCTTTGACATTCAGACCGGCGCCATGGTTAAGGTAGACCGTCGACGCAATACCATCTTGTCACGAGCCTGCACATATAGAGTTTTTCGGGCCACTCGGCCTCGGTGTGCGACGCGCAGTTCAACCGCCACGCGAATTTGATTGTCAGCGGGTCCAAGGACGGCACGGTGCGTCTCGGCTGGCGGCGAAAACGCGTTAGCGAGTGCGTAGGTGCGCTTTTGGGACATCTTGAGCGGCCTCTGCGTGCACACGCTTCGGCAAACGCTCGGCGAAGTGACGTCCGTGTCGCTGTCGTCCAACGGCCTCTTCCTCCTCACGGGTTCGCGCAACAACAGCAACCGCCTCTGGGACATGCGCATGCTCACGATGCCGCGAACAACGCTCACGAAGGATACGCCAACGCACCGACCGTCCACGTCCTTGGCGCCGACGACCGCGAGCAACGAGCAGCGTCCGCTGCAGCGCTTCAAGGGCCACCAAAACACGGCCAAGAACGTTGTGCGGGCTGCGTTTGGGCCGCGAGAAGACTTCGTCTTGGGGTGCGGTTGGCTTTGCGAGTCAAAACTCATGTTTTTGTAGCGGCTCGGAAGATGGCGCCGTGTACGTCTGGGACGTTGCGACGGGAAAGCTGCTGGAGCGCCTTCTGGGGCATACGGGCGTCACGTACAGTGCACGGGTACGTGCGGCAGCGTGCTGGAATGATTTCCAACCAGCATTTGTGTCTAGTGGCACGAGCGGCAGGCGCTAATGGCGTCCTGCTCGCACGACGGCACGGTCAAGACGTGGTGGTGGCAGGACCCTGCGCTCAAGCCCTAGCAGCGTTCCAACGACGTGTCAAAAAGTGCTACCAACTAAGCAAGAAGAAGAGTCTCTATCCAAGCGTGACCTTGGTGCCGAGTTGAAGTTGGTTGGATGTGGCATGTGCCAAAGATAGATCGGCACCTTCGTTTTATTCTCAGCCTGCGCACAGCATACATATATCTAGATATTAATAAAAACGTCGCGGGCTCCGGTGGCTTTGACGTCGCGTGGGGCTAGGGTTCATGTGCCATCACCGGGCGCCTCATGTCGGCGACGTATTTGCGTACATTTTATCTTTTTCTTTGTATTGTCATACAAAAGCCATGCTCCAAATATGCATATTCATGTCGGACCTTGTTGCGGTTCAATTTTGCCGGATTATGCCATTTCCGAAATTCTGAGCATGACCAAGACCTGCCCGATCACGATCGCGACGGCGACCGTCGCCGCCCTTGGTGGCCTCCACCTTCTCCAGAAGCAGTACCTCGCGTCGAAGCGCCACAGCTGCCAGCGCCAGCGTGTGACGCTGGACCCGCGCGCGACCCTGCACACGTGCAAGAAGTCGAGCTACCAGTACGAGACCTACGAGATCGACTACACCATGCACCGCGACCACCGTGAGAAGCTCGCTGCGCGCATGCGCGCCCTTGCGTCGCCGCAGTCGGCAATTATGCTCCACGGCGGCACTCAGATCGGCGAGTACGACACGGACACGGACATTCCGTTCAAGCAAGAGAGCATGTTCCAGTACCTCTTTGGTGTCAAGGAGCCCGACTGCGCGGGCGCGATCGACCTGACGACGAACGAGTCGATCCTGTTTGTGCCGCGTCTCTCGGCCGAGTGGGCGCTTTGGTGCGGCGACCGCAAGCCGCTCTCGTGGTTCCAGGCGTTCTACGGTGTCGACCACGTGCACTTTACGGACGAGATCGCGTCCGTGCTCAAGGCGCGCCAGGTCGCGCACCTCTATTTGCTGCAGGGTGTCAATCTCGACAGCGGTGTGACGACGACGACGACGTCGACGTTCGACGGAATCGACGCCTTCACGACGGACCTCGAGACGCTGCACCCGCATCTCGTCGAGTGCCGCGTGACCAAGTCGCCGAAGGAGCTCGACCTCCTCCGCTGGGTGAACCGCCTCAGCTCCAACGCGCACATCAAGGTGCTCGAGACCATCGAGCCGGGCATGGTCGAGTTCCACGCCGAAGCCAACTTTCTCCACGCGTGCTACGCGCAGGGCGGCGCGCGCTTCCACGCGTACACGTGCATCTGCGGCAGCGGCCACAACGGCTCGGCGCTGCACTATGGCCACGCTGGCGCGCCGAACGACAAGATCCTCGACGACGGCGACCTCTTTCTTAACGACATGGGCGCCGAGTACCACGGGTACGCGTCGGACATTACCGTCACGTTCCCGGTCAACGGCAAGTTTACGGCCGACCAAAAGTTCATTTACGAAGGTACCGAATTCTCTCGAGGCGACGGATATGCTCACGCCGATGCGACAGGTGTCTTGAAGGCGCACGACGCGGTCATTGCGGCCATGAAGCCGGGCGTCGAGTGGACCGAGATGCACATGCTCTCGCAGCGCGTGCTCACGCAGCACCTCCTCGAAGGCGGTCTCTTCCAGAATGGCACGGTCAATGAGCTCATGGCCGCCGAGATCAGCGCGTACTTTTACCCGCACGGCCTCGGCCACCTCATGGGCCTAGACGTACGTCGCGTGGAACGACGATGCAGCAGCGCTCAACGTGTTTGTGTTGTAGGTGCACGACGTTGGCGGCTACCTTCCGGGCACGACGCGCACCGACACGCGCATGCTCCGCAAGCTCCGCGCAGGCCGCAAGCTCGAGGAGAACATGGTCATCACGGTTGAGCCGGGCTGCTACTTTATCGAAGGCCAGATCGAAGAAGTGCTTTCGTCGCCCGAGACGGCAAAGTTCATCGACCAGAAGATGCTCGCGCGCTTCCGCAAGACGGGCGGCGTCCGCATCGAGTCGGACGTCATCGTGACGGCGACGGGCGCCGAAAACATGTCGCACTTGGTCCCGCGCACGGTCGCCGATGTCGAAGCCGTCATGGCCCGTCGCTAAGTTGTAGCACCTGGAATACGAGTTGTATCATTCTGTGTCTGCATGTAAAACCGAATAAGCTCGTTGCTTGGCATCGTCGTGCGATGGACGGCTTGATTTAGTTAGTTGCTTTTGCCCTCTAGATATTTCGCCGACCACACGCGGGTCGAGTTGTCCATACCAAAGTCGACGAGCGCGTCGATGGGGTGGATGATGAGCGGGATCGCACCGAGGCCGATGCACGTCGGAAGCCAGCGCACGAGAGCCGGGTTCTTCACAGACGACGTCACCGCGGCCTTGGAGAGCGCGACCTACCAGACGACATGAGGCTTGATTTAACGGCGGCGACGTACGACGCGGTTGATCGTGAAACCAGGAATCACGACGCTCGCCTACGGCATGGTAGTACACGTGCGTGATTAAAGTGAGGTGCCCACCATGGTCTGCCACAGGAGCGTGTCGCCGGCGGCTGCGGCCATGTGCGCCGACTTGGCCGGGGGTGGTGCACTGGCCCCGGCCTTGGACGCCTTGTCGTACGTGTCGGCTGCGACGTAGGCAAAGGCCACGGCATAAGACGGTGCAACAAGAGCTGGGAAGACGGGCCGGAACGACTCGCCAAGCTCGTTGGCGTACCCAAGGTACCGAAGCGGGCCGTCGCGCAAGATGTCCTTCTCGACGTTCGCCATTTTGTTGGAAAGTGCAAATTGACAGCGTATTTTTTCAATTTAAAAAAGAGTTTTCGACCGCACCATCCCTGAGTGGTCCGGGCGGCGCGTGCCACATCCACGCTCCGTGGGCTACATCACTCGAGTCTATGGCGCATCCTCCACCGAGCTTCTCCGTCGGGCCTTTCATTCTTCTATCTGCCGACGACGTGCAGAGAACTCGAATGCAGTGGCTTCGTCAGCTGCAAGTTGGTTCAAAATACAAACGCTTCAAAACTAGGCTGCCCGTGTCGTACCGCTTCAATGAGCCTTTCGTTAACCTCGACCAAGTGACTCAGTGGAAATCACCTCTTTGTATTGGCAGTACGCGTGACAGCACACCTTGGAAACTGCTGGTGGCAAAAGGCGCCGGCGGTGATCGCGCCCACAAAACGTAACCTGTGTCGGCTGCGGAGCGGACATATTGAAACCTTGATACATTTTTGATAGAAAATTTAGGCCCATCAACGTACCGGTAGCCCGTCTGGTTGCAAACGCAATGAGGAGTACTTCCACAGCGCGTCCGTTTAGCGGGCTAAAAAGGGTCGAAAATTGCTCGAGGCTGCAAAATGCTGGCCGTCATTTCGAATCGACCACCAAGAACGACGCGACGAGAAACTCGCGGCAGACCCCAAACGGCGGCAGCATTCTGGGTCTGCTAAAGCCATCGTTCTCCCTCTTTACCACAATACGTTTGGTTCTCGAGTCGCGGCTGCGTGGTGGCTGTTCACACACCAACGGGTGTGGACCGTGGACGTCGTTGGCGCTCATAAGCGGCCTGGACGCGGGTTGGTGTTTTGGGGGCAAGGACCACGTAGCCCAAGGCTACTATCAAGTCTGGGTAGTTGGCCCCGCCGAGGCACACAGTACCCCGTACAAACCGACAATGTCTTAAAAGCCGTTGAGCCATGAGTGGTGCTTCAACCCCTTGCGGTACCGGTACACATTTGTATGGATAAACGGAAGAATTGAAACAAGCTGTCCTCCTAGCATGCTTCACTCGAGGGATCGATTTGTGACCACTCGATGCGTATCTTTGCTTGTAAACGACCCGGTTTTATCGACCATCCCAACGTGTCCCATCGTCCGAGGCCCGTCTTTTGCAAAGCACCTAGGTCAGCTACGAGCGACGTTTTACGCACGTGGATTGCCGTCCTGCGCCGCGCGACCTGCAAACTGGTTTGGCGTTATTAATAATGATGCCGGCGTTGAATTTGGCAGAAATACAAATGCCCTACGTCTTGCTAGACGTATTATGAACCAACGTTGTTGGACAATATCGTGCACCTACTTGACGACAGCTCTTGACGACGCGATCCTGTCGTCGGTGAAAAGATCGGGCTCAACAGGCGCTTGCAGTTGCGTTGCCAGGTCGCAGGTGCCGCATTGCTGCTTCCGTGATGAGGGTATGCATCATCAGAATGCAGTAGCTTTGTCGCAGTGTCTTTATACTGGCGCACGCTCCTCCTTGGCGCCGCGATGGGTGTCCACTTGAGGCGACACTCTACAATTACATGGTACACTACAGTACTCGGCGCGACGGCGTCGACGCAAGATCGGGCGGAAAGACGCACACAACTTCAACGTGCTACAAAAGCACGCGACGGGCGTGTACTTGTAATCGCCTGCTGACAGGCGTCGTCTGGACCCTCGTCGTCTTAACCAATTACAACGTTAGTTGGGTAGAAAGACTCGGGGCACTCGGCAGATATACCCGGACGCGACCTATCGCAGATCAGAGCCACTTGTAATCGTTGGCGCTTTGTCGAGCGGGCGACCTTCGAGAGGTCCATTGTGGACCCAGACACGCACCCAATCACAGCACCGGATAAGTGGATACCGAAGTAAAGATCGAAGTTTATTGGTAATCCCACGCGCTCGAAAGATCGGCGCGACGAACCAGCGGCCGCTCTCCTTCGAACTTCGGTGCTCGCTGGGATAGATGCTCAGTTTGCCTTTGCGAGTCCCGCGCGCAGTTGCTACCATGGCCACCAACAGCATGGGCAGCGTGTGCAACACGCCCAAGAGCCTCAGCCGCCTCACGCGCGCGTCCCGCGTCTCGGCCGTCCAGCTACCGAACGCCTCGTACGTCGAGGAAGACGACATGGTCGTTGTCGCTGTCGCCGCGCCCGACAACCAAAACACGTTCAAGGCCTTCATGTATGGCCTCATCAACGCCGCGCTCGTCGTGCCCGTGTGCATGGTGCGTCGAATCGAGTCCAACATGGGAGCTCATCATCGTGTAGAGTTTCACGGCCATCATCTTCAGCAACCCATTCTTCACACCATTCATGCCGACGCTCGTCAAGCTCGTGGGCCTCTCGAGCGCCGTGCACCAGATCATGTTTTCATCACTCAGTTCGCTCCCGTTTGCAATTGGCCAAGTCCAAGACGCAGGTACGCACCGATACTCTCGGTAAACTGGACGAAACGCGTGGCGTAGGTCTCATCTTCCTTTCCGCAATGGCGTCTTCCGTGGTCTCGATCTTGGCCGACGACCCGACGCTGCCGCCCGAGGCCGTCATCGCGACGACGCTTGTGACTCTGAGCTCGGCCACCGCGCTTATGGGTGTCGCACTCATCATGACGGGCAAGGTACCGATATCTCCAACGGCCCATTTTGAATTGCGCAATCGTAGTACAAACTGGCGAGCTTGGTCCAGTACTTGCCGATGCCCGTGATTGGCGGTTCGTCCGACCTTGAACTTGGGTGTCTAAACACACGCGTCTTTGTAGGGTACCTCTCGTACATTGGTTTCTTTTGTATGGAAGCCGGCCTCGGCCTCATGGCCAACAAGGAGGTCAAGAACATCATGGAGTGGCCGCAGCTCTTCAACTACGACTCGGCGATCCACATCCTTCCGGGGCTGCTCTGCGGCGCCGCGCTTTTTATTCTTTCGTCCAAGCTGCAGCACTTTCTCGTGATGCCGCTCACGCTCACGTCCGTGTTGCTTGGCTTCTACACGTTCCTCTCCGTCACGGGTCTCTCGTTCGACGACGTTCGCGCCGGCGGCTGGGTCTCGTACCCGCCTGCTGTCACCGCCACGCCGCTCCAAGTCTTTGACCTTTTTGACTTTTCGCTTGTCCAATGGCGCGCGATTCCGCCCCAGTTCTTCACGTGGCTGGGCATGTACTTCGTCGTTGCGTTCTCGTCGAGCTTGGACGTGGCGGCGATTGAAATGAACATGGGCACCGATCTCGACTACAACCACGAGCTCAAGACTGTCGGCTGGTCCAACACGGTCTCGGGTCTCTTTGGCGGCTTCACGGGCTCGTACATCTTTTCGCAGACGATCTTTACGCTCAAGAGCAACACCAACAGCCGCATTCCCGGTATTGTTGTGCTCAGCGCCGAGCTGCTCATCTTTGTGCTGCCGATTCCGCTCACGGCCTACATCCCCAAGTGTACGTCGATCTCGTTCCTGTGGTGCTGTGTGCTAACGAAGCGTCTAGTCTTCTTTGGCGGCCTCCTCACCTTGATCGCGATCGATCTCATGATGGTACACGAAATCCAGCGCGTCGAAGATGCTCACGTACCATGCGTTAGGAATGGCTGGTGCACGCCTCGTCCAAGCTGCGCTTCCGCGAATACCTCCTCGTGCTCGCAACGTTCGTCTTGATCAACCTCTTTGGGCTGGAGCAAGGCATGATTTTGGGGCTCATCTGCGCCATGACCAACTTTGTCTTCAGCTACGCCGAGGGTGTTTCGGTCGTCAAGGTATACATACATGCAAAGCTTGTTTGAAACTAACCATCGACGCTGTAGACGCTGAGCCGGAGCCGTGTCCAGCGCAGCTACCAAGAGCGCCAGTTCCTCCGCGCGCACCAGGGCCAGATCGTGACCCTCGAGCTGCATGGCTATTTCTTTTTTGGGTCGAGCATCCGCCTCATGGAGGTCATCAAGAAGAGCATTTACGTGGCGCACGCCAAGGCGACCGAGGCGACGCCGCTCCTGCTCATGGAGGCTGCGACGCAAAGCAGCGTGTCGCACCCGCTCAAAGTGTGCACGCTCAAGGCCTTTGAAGAACGCAGTGGTGTCAAGTCGGCGATCGACGAAGAGGCCGAAATGACGATGCTGCCGACGCGCTTCTTGCTCTTGGACTTTTCCCATGTATCAGGTATCGACGCCACCGCGTCGCGGAGCTGCTTCACAGCGATGAAGTCGCTGCTCGCCCGGCACAACATTGCGCTCGCCTTTGCCCGCCTCTCGCCCGAGATTGAGCGCCAGCTCCAGATGAACGGTGTCCTCGACGACGACGACGACTCGACGAGCGACATTCACATCTACGCGTCCGCGGACGCAGGCCTCGAGGTGTTTGAGAACGTCCTCCTCAACGAGCGTCCGCCCGCGACGCCCATCTCCCAGTCGCAATCGCACAATTTGTTCCAGAAGCCGCACCAGATTGCCCGCCTCGCGTCGCCGACGCCGTCGATCCACTCCGTCTTCCAAGACGCGCTGGACGCGTGGGATGTGGCGATCTCGCTCGAGAAGGTCTCTTTGTACTTTGAGCGCCGGGACGTGGACGGCCGATCGATTGTGTTTGCCGAGGGCGACGAAGCTGAGAGCGTCTTTGTCGTCGTCTCTGGCGAGCTTGAGATCTTCCGGCCCGACCACGCACTCGACCGCATCGTCAAGGTGAGCCACGGGTCGCTCGTCGGCGAAGTCGACTACTACTTGCACCAGCCGCGGTCGTACACATGCCAGGCCGTGGCCAACTCGGTCATTTACGAGATCACCCGCGAGCGCATGACCAATATGGTGCGGGACGACCCGACGCTCTGCACGGCGATCCAAACCGCGTTCCTCAAGTGCATGAGTCTCGGCGCGCACAACCACCTCTTTGTGCACCACCGCCTCGATTAGACAACTATCAACGTATCAAGAGGACGATGTTTAGTGTTGTATATCTTCCCACAGCGGCGTGTTTAAACGGACCTGGTTGTTTAAACAACCAATATTGTGGTACAGTGTATTGAGGACAAGAGCAACAACAAGGTTAAAGGCCGGATGAAGCGTTTCCAGCATCTGTTGTTGTCGACACGGTAAGTTTTGCACGGCTCTGATGTTGGGTAAGCATGCTGCATCCAAATGAGCTTTCGCAATACTACCGGTATTTTAGTAAGGAACGTTGAAAGGCGTCTTCGCTCAGTCAGAGCCAGCTGAGTCAGAACCAGCTGAGTCAGAGCCAGCTGAGTCAGAGCCGTCCGCACTTGCGCCTGCCAAACGCGTTAAACGTTCCCGCCAATGGCCGCTAAAGGTCACGCGTAAGCAATGCTCCAGTCATCCAATCAGATCGCTTCTCGGACGCACCTATGTTATGGAGCCATTGTCCGATCGTCGGTGGCATGCGTCTGGCTGCGTTCGCCCTGCTGTGCGTCACGAGCGCGCTTACGTCCAACGAGTTTCACCTAAGTCTCGTCGGCGATGGCTCTGGCGACTACATGCTGGACTGGGTCACGGCGGCTGACGCCACGGCCTCTACCATCTACTACGGCAGCGCCAGCTCGAGTTTGACCCAAAAGGCTGTGGGCGTCGCCGCCGGCAGCGTCGCCGAGTCGAGTGATCTGAACGTAGCGTGCTGGACGGCGCGTCTCTCCGGTATCAAGGCGGGTGCTACTGTCTACTACGACCTCGCTTCTGCAGGATCGTCGGCCAAGTCGTTCACAGCGACACCCGCCAACGCGATGACGTGGGCCGTGTTTGGCGACATGGGCGCGACGGTGCTGGGGAAGGCCTCGGGTATAACGCTCCCAGCGCTCAAGAGCGGTCTCAGCGCCAACGCGTTCCACGGAATCCTCAACATTGGCGACCTTGGCTACGAGCTCGTGGGCTCGAACGGCGCTGCGTACATGCAGCAGCTCGAGCCGCTCACGTCGGCCGTGCCGATGCACACGACGATCGGCAACCACGAGATGCAGTATGCGGCCCAGGGTGCGATGCAGAACTACGTGAATCGCTTCAAAGGTCTCCTCGTCGGCGCCGGTGAAGCCAGCGGGTCGGGCTCCAACACGTTCTACAGCTTCAACGCGGGGTATGTCCACTTTGTGTTTCTCAACACAGAGGTCTACGGCGACGAAGCCTTCATGGCGCCGACCCAAGACGGCAACAAGTGGGTTCCGAACGACGCGGCGCGAGTCCAGATGCAGACGGACCAGAAGAGCTGGCTCGAGTTCGACCTGAGTCGCGTCAAGCGCGAGGTGACGCCGTTCGTCGTGGTTTGCGGCCACCGCCCTCCCAACCACATTCCGACGTCGGCTTCGACTGGCACCAACAAGTTTGCAAAGGACCTTGTGCCGCTCTTCGACAAGTACGCCGTCGACCTCATGCTCACAGGACACGAGCACGCGTACTATAACATCAAGCCGAGCAAAATTGGCAGCTACAACTTTCCGCCCTGGATCATCTCGGGTGCCGCGGGCAACAACGAGTTTATTCGCCCAACGGCCAAGGTGGAGCTCGACACGAGCGTCTTCACCGTCGTGACCAACATTAACAACTATGGCTATGGCTACCTCACTGCGACGGCCGAGAAGCTCTCTTGGGTCTGGGGCCAAGCCGCGACCGACTCGCCCGGGGGCATGGCGTCCCAGCCCGCGCCGTGGGCTCAAATGGACAAGGCCGAATTTCTCAAGAAGACGCTTACGAACCCGACGCCTGTGGGGAAGCCGCTCGTCGTGCCGGCGCCAAACGCGACGATGCCAGTGGGCAATGCGACGTCAACGCCATCGTCCAGCAGTCCAGCGACCAAGGATGGAAGCAAAGCCACCGCGAGTAGTGCCGTGACGCTGATGCTGAGTGCCTGTACTGTTGCTCTCATGGCGATGGCCTCCGTGTAAGCCACCATAGCCCGTTTACTCTTGCGTGCAAGTTTATTCTACGATAAAACGCCTTTGGTTGGTCGCTTCGCCGGTTGGTGGACCCACCCGTTGCGTCCTGGCGGCAAGATTTTGATTTAAACATCCGCCAGTTGGATACAAAGCGCCAACTCATTCATTTCAATTTCAATTGCTGACCGCAACTACGTTCATTTCGAGATTTGACATGATGGACCTGACGACGGCAACAAAGAGCGCGTTGAAGGAGTCGAAGCAACTGCAGGTGGCCGTGCTCAGAGGCCAGCTTTACGAGCGCAGAGCAGCTCTACTCAACAAGGCAACGGACCGGCTGGGCTTGGTGCACTGGCAGATCGATACGAACAAGCTCACGGACATCGCGGCTCTCCTCGAGCATCTTCGCGTACTCGATGGCTTTCTCCAAGGCACGTACGACGCTGCGAAGGAGCACCGTCGACAACTCTCTGGCCTCGAGCTCATCCTCCAGTCTGGCGGTGGTGCGGCGCTTCGCGGGGTCGCACTCGGTCTCTCAGTACCCATGCCCGAGCTTGTTCTCGAGCCTTCATGTGGAGAGTGGACGCAGCTCCCAGCGCCGGCCGCGCACGACGAGGTGGTGTCGAAGCTATACTTTGCCAGCGTCGACGCCGCGCTGTGCTTTGGGAGCACTGCTGTTGCATGTGGTCTCACGTACGCTGCGCAACTTTTCTGCGCGTCTGGCGCCGCTGACGCAATGGCGACGACGAGTGTGCTCGTCACATACAAAAGCGCTCCGATGAAGTCGCTGCGTTTGCGGCCAACGTCGCTGCGTCTCTCGCAACGAGCGCTGCACGCGGCCTCGAACGTCACGGACGACGCGTCGGCCGTCGCCTTTCTCAACAACTTTGGATCGCACGTGCTGTGCGGCGACGTCCACTTTGGCGGAGTCTTGTGTCACATCGTCGAGGTGTCGGTCGAGCATGCGACGCCGATCAGTGTTCTCCGAGCCGCTTGCGATACCGCGGCCACCAAGTGCCTCTCGGTGCCGTATAGCACCATGCCTTATGACGTCGGCGTCAACGTGTACACTGGTACACTGAGCTCGAATGGCCGAGAGCAGCCATGCGACATCGTGGCGCGCCTTGAGACAACTGGCGTCCCCGCCGCGAGCTTCGCCATCTATTGCGCGCTCTTGACGGCCAACAACGACGTGTGGTCGATGGTGGACCGTCCAGTCTCGTCGCCCGTCGCTGTGTGGGACCTCTTGGCCACGCAAGCCGGCATGCACGACGCGGCGCACCTCGTGCGTGACGCCTGGATCAAGCTCGCGCCGTCGCATTCACGTCCAATGGTGTCGGCTGCACTCTTGCGCGCCCGCATCGATGCGTGGTACGATGTCCATAGCGCGTACTCCCGGGCGCCGACGCTGGCCAACACCGCTGCCGCTACAAGCGCCACCAGCGTGATCGCCGACGACTTGGAAGCCGCTGATGACGCTGGCGAAATGGCGCGCCTATTTGCCTCACTTTTGGAGTACGACGCAGCCTTCAACCTCGACACTGCGGTGCCCTGCATGCGTCGACCGGCCGTTCAAAAGCGGCTGTCCGACCTCGTTGGCCAACCGCTGCGACCGCTGGATACGCTCTACGACCAGATTCTCAAGACTCTCTTGGTGGAGGCAGTGCCACCAGTGCGCCTCGCGTGGGACGTGGATGTCGAGCTGTCGCGGTCGGCGCTTATGGCAGCCATCGTCAGCGACATCCAGGACACTGACGCCCTTGCGTGGAAGCCTCCGGCCATGGCGACCGTCGACGTGCCCTACGCCCTCGAAGCGATTGCATCGACCTTATTTGCGGCGCCGACCCCCGACACGCCTCGCGTGATGGCACTCTGCCACAAACTCGTTGCTGCGAGCGGCTGCGACGCCTTTTGGAAAGTCGCAATGAAGTACGGCTGGGAATTGGAAGGCGGCTTTGCTTGCGAGCTCCAGGAGAACCATGTGCGCGCTATGGTCGGCGCGATGCACGAGGCGTATGTTGATGACCCCGACGCGACTGACTCGGACGACGACGAACCGGTGCGTGCATTCAAGAGCAGCAGTCTATTGCCGTTGAGTGCCCCCACCGGCCGCACACTGCAAGACCTCTTGACCGCCGCGCCAAAGCCGAGCGAGGATCTTCCAGCTCTCGTGTGGTTCGTCCTGAAGCACCGTCTCAGCTTTGACGAGGAGATCTACGCCAGCAGCACGACAAAAGGAGCCAAGCGCACAGCACGCCAAGGTAGCAAGAAGTCCACCAAGAAGTTCTCCCAGAACCCTGTGGTTCTGGACGCTCTCGAGTCGTTCACGGCGCCGTTGACACCGGGCGCGCGTGCCGAGGTCTACCGCGCGCTTCTCGACCAGCAGTTTCTTGTTCCATGCGTTTTGTCGACGGCCCGTGATTTCCGGCGCCTAGTGAGCGGGCTGGAGCTCGTTGAGACCGCGACGACTGCCGGCGTCCGGTGCGTTGCCAAGGACACGACAGCGACCCGCGTCGCCGTCATCTCGGGACGGCCGACGCGCTGCAGCGTATCGCACAAGTGGATCGAAAAGGTTTTCCACGTCAACTCGGCACACTGCCTCGATCGCAGCCTTGGCAGCTGCTTTACAGAGCATGCTACAGTCGCAGAGCTCGGCTGGGGCTTTGTCAAATCCGCCTCGCCCAACTGCACCACGGTCATGCTCCTCCACATTGTCGGCGTCTGCAGCTCTCAGCTTTGTCGTTTCGTCGAGTCTTTCGCCGACGTCGTCGTGGTCGACGGGGTGGTTAGCTCTCTGCAGTCGCACCCGCGTGCATTTCGCTGGCAAGAAGCAAGCGACGACGAAGTAGACTCGGATTCAGACGCTGGCGACAACCCAGTGCTCCTCCGCTGCCCACTGCACTTGGTCTACAAGAAGATCGCCGACCGCATCTCAAGCATCAACTCCGCACTCTCGTCTACGGTGCGGGTTCCCGTCGGCCATCTGTCATTTGGCACCGAAGACGTCGTTTTGAACACGTGCACGACCGTCGCGGACCAAGTGTTTGCAGCGACAGACTTTTCGACGTTGCGCTCGTCAACCCTGCGGCTGCAGACGCTCTTTGCAGAAGAGTCGACGCTCCAACTGCGCCTGCAGCGCCAGACGCTGGCGCCAGACCGTCAGCTGCTCCAGTGCAAGATCGACAAACTGCAGCTGCGGTATGTCGACCTCGTCGCCCCCGTTGCGGCGCATGCACTCGTCCAGTACTTCGTCAATGTACTGCAGCAGCCGATGGTAGCGCAGCGAGAGATGCTTTTCTTGGACCTCGAGTGCCGACTCAACCTCGAACGCCGACTCTTGAAAAGCAAGGGTGTCGATGCGCGAGCATCTGTGACCGGTGTCGAGCATCTTTGGCGCGAGCTCTCGCATCTTTTTACAATCCACCCAAGCACGTTTGCGGAGCTGCCGTCGCTGGCAGCGCAGCACTTGGTGGACGGTTTTCCGCTGGAGCTCATGGACGGCGATGCGGCCAGCGTCAACACCAATTGGATCAAGGCGGTACTGCGCGCGCTCGGCGGCCTCCTTCCGCGCGGTGCCCGCGTCTTTGTGCTCTCGATCTCGGGAATTCAGTCGTCGGGCAAGTCGACGCTACTGAACTACATGTTTGGCGTCCGCCTGCGCACGGACCTCGCGCAATGCACGACTGGCATCAACCTCCAGCTGCTCGCGTGCGAAGGCTGCCCGTCGTACGAGTATGTGCTGCTGCTGGACACGGAAGGCCTCCAGTCGCCCGAGCGCATCCGCTTGCCCGACCTTGTATGGCGCGACAACCGCATGGCGACGCTGTCGATCTTGCCGGCGGACGCGGCCGTAGTGTTGACGAAAGGCGAGTCGACCAACACGACCAACGACGTCCTCTCGATCGTGCACTCCGTCTTTGTCAACTCGGGCCTTGTGGAAGCGCACACGGGCCACGTCGCGACGAAGATCTACTTTGCCTTTAGCCAGATTGACGTTTCCGACACGACGAAGATGGCGACAAGCATCTCGGAGCTCCTCGAGAGCCTTAAGGAGAGAGCTGCGGACATTCAGGAGCTCCGAGGTACCTCGCTGGCTTCCGAGACGGGACTCCTTCGCAACTTCAAGGTCGACAAGAACCATGAGACGCAGAGCGATGTGCGCTTTTTCGGCACGACGGATGCGTCGAGCTCGCCGCTCAAGCCCAACGACTTTAGCAAGCGCGTATTGCGCTTTCGCGACTATATCCAAGCACACGCGACCGATGGAGACCGGAAGGTGCGCACGGTGGCCCAGATCATGGATGACCTGGATCTCGTCTGGCGCTGCATTGGCAGTGCAAACTTTGAGTTGGACTTCAAGTCGGTCCACGAGCGCCTTGTCTACGACTCGCTCGTCAAGGGCATGAACGACCACACGAGCAACCTGGCCGCAGCGTACGCGATGGCGTTTGACAAGACGCTCGAGTTGATGACCTCGTATTGCGGCAGCAACTTGGAGAACCTGGCGCTCGAGTGCAGCACGTTCCAGAAGTTCATGGAGGACAAAGTCAAAGACCATGTGCTCGAGGAGAGCAAAGCGTTCAGAGCGGCCCTGTCGTTGCCCAAGTACGCCAAGTGGGCGTCCGATATGGATCGTGCCTGGGGCCACTCCAAGGTCGCCCATTTGAAGCACGCGCGCCGCCTCGTCCGCGCCAAGTATGATCATCTCTTCCTCCACGAAACGCACGTCCAGCGCTACAAGGACGCGTTGCTCAAGCAGGTGTTGGCGCTCCGAGACGACCCGCAACGCACGGTGCGCGACTTCGACGAGCTCTTCCGCGGGTTTTTGGCAGACGTGCGCGCCAAGGACGCGCCACTTGCCGGTAAAGTCCGTCTGCTTACGATGGAGGCGCTGCACACGAGCAACATCTTTACGATCGACGAGCTCAACATGGTTGGATCCTCTGGACCAATGCCGCGGACGGGGTCACTTGCAGTTTGCTCGTCTCGCGCCCCAACGTTTCGGTGGCAGACCAGATTGCAGACTCCATCGCCGATCAGGTGCGAAGTCGCCTCGCCAACGTCGACCGGTACTCGCCCGGCGTTGTCACAGAAGTGGCTCGCGACCTCCAGAAGCAGTTGAGCCACATGGCGCCAGCTGACAAGGCCGCAGGCCTCAGCAGCCTCATCTCGACGCTCGGCTCGGAGCTCGCTGCGATCCAATCCAAATGGGATGAAAGCAACAGCATCGTGGCGCGCGTTGCAGCTTGCGAGGGGGCGATGCGGCAGTTTGCCAAAGACGTTTGCAACGGCTTGGAGGCCGCAGATCTGCTCGTGCGCACGCTCCAGACGTGGCTCAAAGACCAGCTACCGAAAGCGTTTGAGGAAGAGCTCGTCAGCCAAGTGTCGGTCTCGCTCCAGAGCGCGCCATGGGTTCGCGACGCGGCGGCAATGCAAGCCGAGCTCGACTTGGCGCTGCTCCAATCCATCCGACGCCACGACGTCAAGCTTGTCCTCGACCGGATCGCCAACCCGGTGGCCCACACGATGGAGGTGATGACGGGACTCATCGACGTGGCAGTACAGCAGTGCTTTGTTCAAGTCTCGAACGAGTTGGTCGCCAGCATCGAATGTGCACTCGAGCGGGCCGCGCGCGTCGCTGCCAAGGCCGAGAGCCAACGTGGCGCTGCGTTCCTCGCCGAGTTGCGTGCTGCTCTCCTGAGCAGCCTCAAGCGCCGCGGTACAAGCTGCCTCATCGAGAGTCTTCCACGCCCGAGCAGCGATGTCTTCAGCTGCGAAAACCAGGACCCGCACCTGTTTGCCTCGGCCGATGCGACAGTGCCCCGCCGACTTCTGCAGACTTTGATGACGTGCAAGCGTCGCCTCCGTCCGTCGAACCAAGCCAGCGTGCCGATTGCGACGTCAGTGCGTCAGCACATCCACGAGGAATCGTTTGGCAATGCCAACGGCGTCGTGCCGCGCTGCGGGAAGCCGTGTCCGATGTGCAAGTGCCCGTGCACCAAGGCGCTCGGCCACGTATCGAGCGAGGACCGGAGCCACGACACGCACCACCAGCCCCAAGGTCTCGTCGGTACGTACGAGTACGAGCCACTGCACTACCTTGTCGTCGACAGCTGCCCCACCAGTGTCGAGAAAGACGCCGACATCGTGTTCCGGGACGGCACCCGCCACCGGTACCGCGAGTTCGACAAGGCATTTCCGGATTGGGCCATCCCGCACGCAACGCAGCCGCTGCCGCTGCGCGAGTTCATTTTTGCCAAATACCAGAAGCAGCTCGCAAACAAGTTCAAGCGCCCCGCAAGTATTGCCATCCCGCCGTCGTACCAACATGGCCTCCGCAACCTCGAGCGCCAGATTAGCTACGTCGCGCGGCCGGTGCAGACCCTCGGGACCTCGAGACCCGCCACGCGCCAAGCGACCCGCCGCGAAGCGTCGTCATAGTAAGGAAGCCATGGAAGCCATGTGCTGTGTTGTGCATAACAAGAGTTAGCGAAATGAAGATCCCAAGATCGCCACGCGCCGAATGTTCTCGTCACCTAAATCGTCACACAGCGATGGGATTGGTCAAAAAGAGAGGCAGTGTCGGTTCTATAACACCGCTCATTGGTCCAAAGTGGCCAATTAGCACCGGCGCGTGGCTTTGGTACAAATCCCAAGACATCCTTGAGCCTGGCCAATAGTCAAATGACGTTGGTCCCGATCCCGACCGACGCGGCCGCGCAGAACCCGGCGGCCTTCCTCGTGACGCATGGCATCCTCCACGAGGAAGGTCCGTTCTACCTGCACGTGCAGGACAAGGCCGGCAGTCGCCGCAGCGACGAAGCCTGGACCAGCGTCGAGGAGGACCTGCTGCGGGCCGCGCACTGCTGGTGGCGCGCCCATGCGTCCGTGGCCACGGTCGCCCTTGGCATCGCCCTCACGCGCCGCCTGGTCCTCGAGAACCCGGAATCCGATATGGAGATGCTCACGGTGGCCGAGACGTCGCCGGCCAAGCCAGTCAACACGTTTGAAGACGATTTGCTTGCCGATGTCGTCCAGGGCATTCCGACGCTCTTCGTCGCGTCGCGAGACATGGTCCATGGCGTGACCTCGTCCAGCGACGCGCTTGCGGGATACCTCACAAATGCGATCCTCGTCGCACCGAGCGATCTCTTGACGCCGGTCGAAGCCAACCGCGGTTGTCGCTGGCTCCTCCCGGTCGAGCTGTTGAAGGCTGACGTGTTTGACGAAGTCGACTACACGCAGCCAATCAACGTCCTCGGGTTCTCTCTCCACGAAGCGGCGCTCGTCGCGATGGGTCTTGTTCAGTCGGGGCACCCGGCCGTGCGCCTTTGCCTCTTTTCGCTGACGCCGTCGCTTGTGCAGAAGCTGCCGACGACGATGACGAGCACCATCTACTCGACCGAAGGCGTCATGGCGCCGCAAGAAGGAGGCGTGTACGACCTTTCGAGCACCGTCGAATCGACGACGCTTCCGGACACGGACGCCCTGCGCAAGGCCTACGACGCCGCAGCGTCGGCCAAGACGCCCAAGGCTGCGCCCAAGGTCGCGCTTGCCTCGCGCGAGTACCGCGAAGCCTTCTTCACCATGCCGCTGCCGCTGCCGAAAGCCAAGTTCTTGGATGTGGCGGCCGCCATCTACCGTGCAACGTCACTCGTCCTCGCACCGCTCGGCGTCCTCTGTGCAAACCCGAACCCGCTTCTGAACGAGACGTCCATGCTCGAGCTGAAGACAAGGCACGGGCACATTCTCCAGGAGATTATCGAGGTCGTCTCGGACATGGTCTACAGCGACTTTGACGTTGACGAGAGCATCATGGCGATGAGCGCCCAGACGTGGCTCCACGACGAGAACGACACGGATTGCAACGCTGCGATGACAAGAATCAACCAGCTTGGCACGACGCTGCGCGAGACGCCCGCGATTGTGGAGCTCCAGACGACTCTCGACGTCGCCGACGTCTTGCCGACGACGCGCCGCATCGTGGAGCATGTAAGAGCGGCGCTGTCGGCCAAAGTGCCGTGGGCGCTGTCACCGCCACCGCTGCCCGACTTTTCGCACCCGCCTCCGCCGCTGGAGGAGATGACCATGTACCCGACGGTCGTCTACGCCCTTGGCTTCCGATTTCAGACGCCGTGCTCGACCATGACCAAGCAGAGCACGCTCCAAGTCAAGGCCAAGGTCCAGGCGGTCTACGAAGGCGTCCGATCGGCCGTGGCGTCGGACCTCGACGCGATCCAACTGCAAGCGCTCGTCGAGTGCTTGGCAGATGATGAGAAGGCGCTCGTGACGGACTTGGCGGCTGCGACGTTTGGCACTCACCACGTCGTAAACGACGACGTGTTTGTGGACCCGCGCATGACGCAGACGGCGCAGGCCAACTTTAAAGCGGCGCTCGGTCGAGGCACGCGAGCCCACAACCGTGGCGACTACGACGATGCGCTGCGCTTCTTCTCGTCGGCCATGAACTGCGTGCCGCTGTACCACGCGAGCATTGCGGACGCGCTCGCAAAGCGCGCCAAGACGCACCTGAGCCTCGGGAACCTCGAGAGCGCGATCCGGGACAGTAAGGAGGCGCTCTCGGTCGCGCCATTTTGCATGGAGGCCTACGCGACCCTCGGCGCGCTTGCAGAGAAGCGCGAGGACTACGACGACGCGCTGCAGATGCACGTGCTCGCGTTCATCCTCGGCGGGTCCCGGGCAATTGACCAAGCCGACACGATTGAACGCGTCTCCAAGCACGTCGGTCGGTCCAAAGCCAAGGAGATCTGGGCTGCAATGGAGATGCGCCACGACATCCCGTCCACGTGGCTTGTCGACAGCTACTTTCAGTCGTTCTTCCGGGATGCCGACTACCCCATGAGTACCGTGTCTGTCTCGAAGCTCCCAACCTTGGACCCGAGCACGCAGTTTGAGCTCCTCCTCGTGCGGGCCATCCACCACAAGCGCTGCCGTCGATACCCTGAGGCCCAAGCCGACTTTGCTGCCCTCGCCGCCTGCCTCCTCCCGCGTCTCGAGGAGAACGACGTCGTCGACGACCCCACCGTACGCAAACACTATGTCATTGCGCTCAACCTCCACGCGTCTTTTTTGTACATCACGGGCGACGTCAACACCGCCTTGCACGTCATCGAGGTGGCGCTGCAACTGGACCCAGACCACCTGAACTCGGTCATCAAGAAGGCCGGGTTCCTCGTCGAGGTCGGGGACTTTGATGCTGCCACCGAGGCGTTCGCCGACGCCACGCGCCTCGACCCCAACTCGGCGGACGTTTACTTGCACATGGGCCAGATGGAGCTCATTCTCTGCGAGTACGGCGCGGCGGTCACGTCGCTGCGCAAGGCCATGGCGCGCTGCGAGTCCATGTATGTGACCCACATCTCGTACGGCATGGCGCTCTACAAGGCGGGGTCCGTCTACCAGAGTCTCGACGTCTTCAAGACGGCGCTCGAACTCTTCCCCACTTCGCACGAGGTTCGCCTCTTCTACGGCGACGTGCTCTCGGACCGCGGCGACTATGGCAGCGCGATGGCGCACCTTCGCGCGGCCTATGACATGTCGCCCGAGTGCCCGCTGCATCTGCTCAACGCCGGACGCATCTTCGTCGCGACCAACGACGCCGCTCACGCGATCGCCCACTTTGAAGAAGCGCTGCGGCTGGACCCGAAGAGCTCTGCGGGCCACCTGGACCTCGCGCAGGTCTACTTTGCGCAAGGCTGCGTCGACGAGGCCATGACGCACTTTGACAAGGCTATCGACACGTGTCGATTCCTCCCCGAGGTCGAAGACGCGTGCGCGTGCCGGGCCGTTGCGCTCATGCAGCTCCATGCGACCGAAATCCTCGGCGTCGATCTCCGTCACATGCTCAAGAACAAGTCCAAGTAGTTTAGTCCACCCTCCATCACTATAAGCATACACTAGGTATACCACATCCACTCGACGAGTGTTAAATAAGTCGGGTTACACAGCTGACGTGCGATGCCGGTGCTTCTTGGTAGAGCCCGACTTGTTGAGGTCGGGCTTGTGGACGTCACTGGTTCGGCGCGCCAACTGTATCGACGTGTGCCATGGGTCATTGTTGTCGCCTACCCCGATGATGGCGCCGTTGATGCTGCCACGGCGAGAGCTGCTGCGCGACGCCATAGATTCTCGTCGACGACTGGGAGGCGGCGGGTCAAACGAGACGTTGGGCAAAAGGTACTTTTCGAGGCGTGAGAGGCGCAAGACAACCTCGTCCAAGCGCGACACTAGACTGGCGGCGAGCTCGTCGTCTTGAAACGCAACGGCACCAGAGACGGAGGACGAAACGCCTTCGACAACGCGATCCGCTAGCACAGCGGACGACGCAGCAGCGATACCAGTCCCTTCTTCGTTGACCTGCGGCTGAAAGACAGAAGAGCGTCGACGACAAGAAATCATTTCTGCAGCCGCGGACGGCAGGTCCACGATCTAGCGTCCTTGTGAGCACACAGCAGCAGTAGTTGGCAACATACTGACGAGCGGGCCTTGTGGAGGCGCGTCGCCGTGTGCACAAACTGGTTTCGAAAGACAATCTTTACGACTTGGCGCCGAATGCTGCGGTGCACTTGCGGGTACAAGCCCGTGGCCATGATATCTTCAAGGTCAAACTTGGAGAGTACTTGCACGTGGAGGTAAGAAAAGGCGCGGACTGGAATTTTTCGCTGCCGGAGGTGGAGAATAATGTCCTACGAGGTATCGATCATATTCGATATATGCGCGCATGTCAGCAAGGAAGATACCTCGCCGAAGTAGGTGCCACCAGCGTAAACTACTTTGTCTTTGGTGGCGATGCCGCGCTGGACGAGGTACCTAGATCGAGATAGCTTGTCGGCGGGACGTACGTAAGCGCAGCGTACATTTTCGTATTGAGTTCGCCTTCGCGAATCACAAACTCAGAGGGGGGAAAGCACTCGGGTCGAAGCACCAGCGCCAGCTATGATGGATGAAGGTCTATAAAATGGGCTTCTAGTAGTCATGGCCACTACGTACAGCCGTGACAAACTGGGCGCGCTCAAGGACGTCGTTGCAGTGGAAGAAAGAAATGTCCGCGATCCACTTGTTGTTGAAGACTGAGACTTCACCGCGAAGGCCCGGAGACATGGTGAGGAGCAAATCGAGGTTTTGCTTGTCGCGCAGCAGCGCTCGCGACGAGTGAAAGTACTCGCGAAGGCGCGACGTGAGCTCGGCGGGCAGCTGGTTCTGCGTCGCGTACTCGTTGAGCGTGTCGAGGGTCTGGTGAAACTCGGTCGTCGACGCGTCCATCGAGTTTAGAATTTGGCAGACGCCGCCAACAACGTAGGCGTATGTGCCAGCCCCGAGGAGCATGCAGGCGATCGAGAGCGCCCGCTCGGCGAGCGTCGAAGGCACGAGATCGCCGTACCCGATCGTCGTCAGAGTCATGACGGACCAGTAGAGCGCGGAAATGTACTGTGTCGATGGCGGCATCTCGGATAGCGGCGTCGAGCCCATACTGTGCATCGTGAGCCAGTTGTAGACGTTGCCAGAACTGTCGACGTAGTACTCGATGTCGACAACGAAGCGGAAGATGCACGCGATCTACGCTGGCGCATACAGACGAGTTTGTGCCAAAAAAGTACCCAGTGGGAAATCATGAGCGCGATGAACGCAAATTTGGTGAGCGCCAGCGTTGCGTAGTTCATGCTCATTTTGGCCTCCCAACGTGTGAACATGTCGCTGCCTACAAGAATGCTGCACCCCGGCCGGCGAGTGTACCGTGTACCTTGGATGACTCGGATGATCTTCATGAGGCGGAGCAGTCGCAGCACGCGCATGAGTCGCAGCTGCTGCACGGCCGACGACCCCGCAAAAAAGTTGATCAAATCAAACGGTATCACCGAAACGAGGTCGACAGCGAACCTGCGGGTGCGGCACATCGACGACCTTGTCGAAGAGGACAGCGACGTACCAGCCTTTGATGTAGTGCCGGACGATCTGTGTGGGCTGTGCGATCCAGATGTTGGACCACTCGTCTCGGTACTAGCCAAACACGTGACGACCCCTGATGCTGGTTCATTTGCGTGCACCATGAGGAAGAAGCGCAGGAGCATGTCAAACAGAAAGCACAGGTCAACTACGCAGCATGAGACATGGTCTCAGAGGAGACGCACCGAGCCGATTCAGCACAAACATGGCATCGGAGAAGGAAGAGTCTGGAAAGGCCGTCTCGTACGGCGTCACAATCGCTATTAAAGCATGGAAAGCGCACGAGGCTGCGCCGCTTACCAGTATAGAAGAGCAAGGCGACGGAGATCATGTCCCATTTCTTCATCCACGGGTGGTGCGGATGGATGGGCTGGATGCGGCAGAGGCCAAAGATCACGAAAGACTGCGTCGTTGCCGAGTTGTTGAGTGGCACAAGCGGCCTCGATCCGAAGCCGAGAAAGGCCGTGGTCTGCCACAGCAAGTCTCGCGCCCGTATCCTGCGCACGCGCTACACGGGCGCTCACCGACCTTCGTCCGAGGTGTTTCTTTACCTGTCGGAAGCTCTCGCTCTCGACTGCGTGGACTTTGGCCGCGGGCATCGCGGCGAAACCAACTGCGCCAAACCGTTTCTGCCACGCATCCGGATAACACAAGTGGAACCGGCAGGTACGATGTATCGGATTGCACACTATATTCAGTCCCACCACCGCCAAATAGACTTGTTTGTCTCGTCCTCGGCCGTCACAGAATCACCTGTACTCAATGCAGTGCGGATGAATTAAAGGTTCCGAGCGAGGCCGTTCAGCTTTTGATGGCATCGATGCGGTGATGTTGCATTCGACTGCAATATGGGCCGCGTCCTGCGCTCTGTGTGGAGCCGATCACAATTTTGCGGTGTAAAATAGTATGTGCCGCCGTGCTGACGTCACTTGGCGTAGTCAATCTGAAATAGTGTTATTCGAAAAAGGCCGATCAATAAAAAAATTGCAGCTTTTGCACGTGGCCAGTGCACTAGAAGACGTCGACGGTCGACGATGTGGAACGCTCTCTTTGGCTCGGACGATGACATGATGGACCCGACGCAGGCGGGCAGCGCCGCCAAGGTCATCTACGGCGCGGGCGAGGAGCCAGACGCTATGACGATGCTCCTTGGCCGGCTCACGACCTTGCTCGAGCGCCTAGGCGAGGCCGAGCATGCGCGCAAGCTGTGGGAAGAGAAGGCCCGAAAGCTCGAGACCGTCAACCAGAAGCTCGCGTACGAGCTCGAGTACAGCACGGATGCAGAGCTGCGAGGTCGCATTGAAGACCTTACGGCCATGAACACAGCCCTGACCACCGTCAAGGCCACGCTAGAGAAGGAAGTCGAGACCAAAGAAGCCCGAGTGCATGCACAGGACGCAGTTGTGAAGGAACTCGAAGCCAAAGTCAACGAGCTTGATGTGAGCCATGCTGCTTGCGTTGCTGAGCTCGACGAACTTGTCGGCACGAAGGAGGAAACCGACCGTGAGATCCAACGCCTCTGCCGTAGCTTGGATCAGAAGGCCGTCGAAATCGCAGCGCTGACCAGCGACATTAAGGCCTCCGCTGCAGCTCGCGACGAAGAGCGCGCGGCCCTTGAAGCTGCTTCCGATTCGGACAAGGCTTCTCTCATCGCCCAGTACAACCAAGTCCAAGAGGAAGACCGGGTCAAGCTGGCGACGGCTGCTGCCGAATTGGCCGAGCTCCACGCGACCGTCACGCAGCTCGAAGCTCAACTGGCCTCCCTTACCCAAGTGGAAGCCAGCCTCCGCGAGTACCTCGCGCAGGCGCAGGCGCACGTAGGACACATGACCACTGAGCTCAACACAGAGAAGGCCAAACTCGCGGACGCCCAGAACAAGATCCATCGATTGGAGATGGACCACGCAGCCATGAAGCAGCTCGAGTCGACTTGGAAGGAGGACGCGATCCGAAAACTCACGGAGCAAGTTCAGGGCACGCAGGACGAGCTCTCGCGCATGATGGAGCTGAACATGGAGCTTACAGAGCGCAACGTGGCCTTGGAAGAAGAGCTGGGCGCCCCAACCCCGCGCTCGACCACGCTCAAGACCACATCCAGGCGCTTGAAGACGAGCTCGAGGGCTGGCGCACGACCGTTGATGCCAACAATGCTGTGTGGATGACGTCACTCGAGAAGGAGCAGGCCACTGTGCGGGCCCAAGCTGAACACATTGCGCAACTCGAGGCCGCGGTGAGCGAACTTGAAACGGCGTACGACGATCAATCGGACAGTCTCCGCGCGCAGATGCAAGCGCTCGAGACGCAAGCCCTCGAGTGGCGCCAACGTCTCGAAGCTCAGACCACCGAGTGGGTCGATGTTCAAGCAAAGATGGCTGCGGCGCACGCCGCCGACATTCGCGCCCGCGACGACGCACACGCCGCCCAAGTCGCGTCGCTTCGAGACACGATCGCCTCGATTCAGCTGGCAAAAGACAAAGAGGTGCTTGCTCTGCACGCGGCGCTCGTCCAAGAGAAGGAAGCGCTTCGCGCCCAACTTGACGTCGCGCTTGCGTCTGCGGCGTCAGAATCGGCGACGGCCGAGCTCAAGGCGGAAAACGCCCAGCTTCTCGAGTCCATAGCTTCTATGAAGGAGGGCGAGGTCCAGTGGCGCGCGCGCGAGGCCAGCATGGAGGCGTCGCTCGAGGCTATGGCCAGGCTGGCAAGTGACAATGCGTTTGCCAAGGAGCAGGAGCACGCAGCGTCGCTGGCCGCTCTGAAAGATGAGCTGGCATCAAGTGTCGCGGCGCACGAAGCGAAGGCTGCTACGCTTGAGGAGCAAATTGCGAACACGCAAGCTTTTCTCGAAGAGTGCGAAGAGGCGGCGCTCGAATGGGAGCGCAAGCACGACCGTGTGTATGACGATCTCCAGACCTCGGTAGCCCACAGTCGCGCGCTGACCGACGCCGTTGCGGCGCTTGAGGCCGACAAGGCAGCTGCTGCAGCCCACGTTGCGGCACTAGAAGCCGACGCGTCCACCAAAGATGAAGCACTTACCGAGCTTCAAGCGAACCTCGCATCATTGGTGACGTCCCACGAAGCTGCTGTCGCAGCCCTGCAATCTGATTACACCACGCAGCTCTCGGCTCGCGACATGACGATTGACGAGCTCAAGTTGCGTATCCAGACGTTGGAGACCAACCAGAGCGCGGTCGACGACCTCGCTGCAGCTCAAAGCAAGGCCGCGATTGAGATCCGGGCACTCCAGACCGAGCTTTTTGCGGCCCACGAAGAATGCGAGCGGCTACGAGCGGCGCTGGCGACGGCCGATGCGACCAAGTCGGCAGCAGAGGCGGCGATGGCCGAGGCGTTTGAAGCAGAAAAGGCACGGCTGCTGGGTATGCTTGATCAGGGCAAGCAGGCATTCCAAGTGCTCAAGACCAAGCACACGCAGATGCTCGACGAGTTCCGTGTCGTATCGGACGAGAAGGCGACGCTGTCGTCCGAAACTCAAGCACAGCTCGACGCTGCGCAGCGTGTCTTCGACGCCGAGAAGCGTCAGCTGCAACACGAGCTCGCTGCGACGCAAAAGATGCTTTCGGACGTGCACGCATCGGCCAATCTCTCGAACGAGCAGCTCGAGGAGCACATCCGCGAGCTGCAGCACCAGATGCATCTGCGCGAAAACAAGTTCGAGTCGGAGACCGAGGATCTCCTCGAAGAAATCGCGAGCCTCAACGGCCAACTCACAGACATCCAAGTGCAAAACAACGTCCTCTCGGCACGTAGCCACCGCCTCGCCCGCGACTTGTCCCAGTTTATGGACCTTCCGCCCGAGGACGCCGTGTTGATCGCGAACCCCAACACGCCCAACCTCTGGGAGCTTCTCGCGACGGGCATGGAGCAGCTCAAGTCAGACCTCGAGGTCGCCAGCACGTATGCGTCCAACCTGGACCAAATGGACGGCAACGACAACCTTCAGGACGCCACGTTCAGCGCCTTCTCGCCCTCGAACGCCAGTCAAGATCTCGCATCGTCTTCGTACCGCGACCACGAGCCGATGCGCACTGCCGCCGTCCAGTAGCTTCAACAGCAAAATACATGTATATACTACCTCAACACAATCCTGTTTGTTAGTACACGATGGAGGGCAGCATCCCCGCGTGTCACAGTCGACACAACCCACAAGTAGCACACGGATGCAGCAGCATAGAGACCCAGCGTTGTTGCATGGTTACGCTATTGGGTGCCATCGGTCGGCGCTTGCACGTCTTCGATGCTGTGGCTGCTCTCGCCGTCGTCCACATCGCTCATTTCGCTATCGCTGATATCCGAGTCGTCCACGTCACTCGCGCTAAAGACGTCATCGCCATCGTCGTCGGCAAAAACCACGACGGGCCCCTCATGGCTGCTTCCGTCGTCCTCGCCACCTTCGTTGCCGGCCTCGGACCCGTCGGCAGCAGCCTCGCGGCGCATCAGCCGTTCCAGGCGTCGCTGGGCGCGCTCCGAGAGCAGCGATTTGCGACAAAGCGGACAAGCAATGCTACAAGGCATGTGCGTTTGCGGGCAAAATGTGATTTGGCCGTACTGGTACTTCGTCATCTCATCATAGCAGGCGCCGTGAAGGACGTGGCCGCATGGAAGCACAGAGGGACTTTCCCGCGCTTCGAACAAGCTCTGGGAAGCGCATTAATTCACGAAAAGTGCAAGACGTGCGGGAATACCTCGTAGCAGATGCAGCATTCCTACACGGAACATGAGCTGCATATTGTGAGTGAGCTGTACCTGGCGCATTGCCTGGTTGATGCATACGTGCTTGTCCCGTCGATCCTGGGCGTAGCAGCCGCCGCACGTCATGCTACAGACAGTCTCAGCTGCGCTCTCCATGTTGAAAAAACCAGTGAAAGAACTTGTCGCGGCCACCGACACGGCAGATGCCGCAATCGTTGCAGTGGAAGATGCCTTTCTCGTCGCCCTCGTCGTCAAAGAGGTTGCAAACTACAGCCGCAGACGTCGACAACGTCGTCGCATCGTCGATTCGTACCGCTGCAAAAGTACTTGCCGAGCACAAAGGAGCACTTGGAGCAGGTCTGCTGCGGTGGCTGCTCCGTAAAGCACTTGCGGCAACGCACGCGCGTCACGGCGTGGCGGTCCATCTCGTGCTATGTTTTTCGAGTGAGTGGGCACCCTGGAGCTTGCTTTGCACACACCCCATCCTGAGCCTCGTTGTGGCACACGCGGCAAGGGAACCACTGGTTACAGCATTCGGCGAAGAGGTGGCAACCTAATCCATCGTCGTTAGCCAGAGTACATACCATGAGAGCTCGGTGTAGTAGGGTCATTGCGGAGGAGTGGCCGGAAGAGGGCACCTTACCGCGCTTGTAGTGGTCGCAGCTCATGACTGTCTTCCTTGGTCGTCGCTCTTCTGGGAGCTCTCGTCCGCACTTCGAACTTCGAGTATTCGAAGTTTTATGCCTTCGACAGTGCCCCTTCTTTATCGTTGCGCCACGTCATAGCTTGGCACGAATTGCTACCGGTAGCACCAGGAGCAAATACTGGTCCCAATTAGGGCCCCAATGATGTTCTGGGTTTTTATTGGTTGACGTAGCTTACGCGCACAGACAGCATCATCGTGTGGTGGCAGCTCGTTATCGCAGGCGCCAACGCCCGTCCCAGCGCAGTAGCTTTGACCTGGCATCGGCGCATTGGCTGAATCTGAGGAGAAGTAGTGCAAACTTCTCTGTCGCCGTCCGACCTTGTTGATATCATTCAAGAGACGTGTCCTCGAGCCAGCTTCAGCTATTTGCCTTGGCTATATGCGGGTGAAGTTCCAGTGAAATGGTGTCATGGACTAAATTGGGTGCGTGTATGGGACTGGCGCAAGCAGTTGGGTCTGGTCCAAACCTTAATGCATCGTTGGCTCGAACGTCGTGGACCCGAGACCCGAGTTGAAGCCCACGGGCATTTGTTCTTCCGGCGCTGAATCTCTACATACAAACATCAAGGTGTTCGGATCCAGCGGTGCACGACCTCTGAAACTTTATACTTGAACTTCTTCTGTTTTCTTTTTCGCCACGAGGGACCACTTCGCAATCGTTCTTGCCATGGATCTTGCGCCGACCGAGGACTGGGAGATCGTCGATGAGCTCTCGTACGTGGCATCACGATGGACGATGCAAACTGATGCGACGCTAGGACGGAGAGAAGGTTGGCGCCGACTTTGCCCGCCGAAGCCACAACGACGCAGGTTGGCTTGCCGCTCCTGCCCGCCGAGGTCATGACAAGTACACTGCCCGCCGCCAAGGGACCAGTTGAACCTTCTGTGCAAGAAGAAAGCACGTCCAAGGTCAAGGCCGCCATGGAGTTCGATGCCAACGCGAAAGCCAAAGCGGCGACTGCGACATCCACCAAAGTCCCAGTTGTGCCAAAGCCCGTGGTCGACGACGCAGACCTAACGCCGATCCGTGTCCGTGTCGGCGAGCGCATCGATGCCCATCAGTTTCGCGCGGATGAGACTGTCGACGCCTTTGTGGCAATGGTGCGTGAGCCGATGTCAATTCCGGTGGGAGACGTAAGATTGCGATATACTAGGCCTTTCCCGGCGAGCACAAGGACGGGAAGCGCATTCGCCTCATTTTCAAGGTAGGTACATCACGCCCAAGTCTATCTAAATTCCAGTGCCGCAGGGTGCTTATATGCTACCGGAAAAGTCCATGGCGACATATCGATTGAGTCGGAACGACGTTATCCACGCCATCATCACAGAGCCTGTGCGAGGTATTGTTCTTGCAGATAATGATGCGTTACCAGGAAACGCCTTCGACTTGTAGATGACGTGCCCACCGATGCGGGCAGCACGCTGGACGTCGTGGGCTTTGGTCTCCGCGCATCCGACGTTCTCCTGCTACTCACAGGCTTTATTGTGCTCACCATGTGGGTGTGGTACAGCAACTACCCGCAGCACTTTAGCTCACTCTCCTTCACAACCTTGCTGGCGCTCAGTGGTTTCCACGCCTACTGCGTCTATTCCGCGCTACTCGTGCACCAAGAACTCGGACGATGAACATGGTCGCTACTCACGCAGAGAACGTCGCTTTGCTTAAACCCCGTAAAATGACAACACCAAATCGATACATTACTGTCCCGAGCCGTACTCGTCCCGTAGCCGCTTTCGCAGGAGAAGCTTTTGCGCAAACGTGCCCCAGCGCTTGATGATAAGCGCTTGGTTGTGCTTGATGGCCTTCTCGATCGACTCGTGCTGCATCGCCGCGTGTGCGTCCTCGACCATCGCAGCGACGCCCTCGGCAACAACGATACCATTGAGGACGGGTACGTTGCGACCACCTTTGACCTCCCAACCGACGACGGCTGGCGCGAAGTCCACGCCGAGGGACTTGGCGACCTTGGCCACGCGAGGAAGTTGTAGGTGCACGCTGCCCTTCGGTAGGCAGTGGTCGCTCCACAGCTCAATGTTGCCGTGCTCGTTCTTGGGTACGACACCGTCGATGACCGGTGGAGCGACGTACTCCAATGTCTGCCATTCCCCAAAGAGGCTCATTGTGTTGTCGAGTGGTGGCGGAAACACTTGGGGGCCCGACGACTTTTTCTTGGCAACGCGCTTGATCGGCGCCTCGGTCTCGAGCACTTGGCGCCCGCGACGCCGCCACTGGTGCTTGGTGCGCAGCGTGCGGACAGCGTCGCGTTCAAAGACTGGCGCGCCCTTGAAGAGGCCGACGGGTTTTCGCGGGTGAAGGCACTGGAAGACGCCGAGGTGCTTTTCCAAGACGTACTGTGGGTGGTTCCTGAACGCTTGAAGGGACTGCGGCAGGGGCATCTTTTTTGTTTCGACGTCCAGCGCGTTGTCCGCTGACGCTCCGGCGCCAATGAGCCGCGCATACCAATTTTCGTCCAGACGCATCGCCAGCGTTCGACTCCATTCTGTCGCATAGCTTGCCGCGACATCCGTCCTGTGTCCGTGGTCGTCGAACGCGACGACGTGCGGAAGGAGCGTGCCGCGACCACGAAGTTTCTCGACTTCGAGCGGCGTGTCGAAAAGATTGCGAGAGACGTCGACGTGCACCCAAGCTCGAGTCGCACCTTGGACCTCGTTCCATGCCCGCAAGCTCGAGGTTTCTCGCAGGCTATTGATGCCAAAGAATGCATCAAAAGGCGCATCCCGACGGGTAATGTTGGGTGTGTCGAGCGACACGACGTAGCGCGTGTGGAGGCGGCACGCACGGCAAAGCGCAGTAAACAAGCAAATGAGCTCGTGCTCAGCTCCCGCACGCGCGTAGAAGACAGCGAGCAGCGACGACGCATCGATAGAGCAGGACGCATCTGCGACGTACGGCAGTCGCACGAAGGTTGCGCGGAACCACTTGACCATGTGCTGCAGCAAGTAGACGAGGTCCTTCTTTTCGCTTTTCGCCGCGTGTCGAGCAAGAATGTCTTCAATTTCCGGCGGCAAGAGCGACCGCAGAAGCGACTGCAGAATCGTCTGGTTGGCGAGGGCGTTGATCTTGGCCTCGCGCGCAACTAGACACACAAGGTGTGCCTTCTTCTGGACAAGAAGCTGCGCCTTCTCATCCTTGGTTAGGCGCTTGACTTTCACCTTTTTTGGCTGCTTTGAAGGTGGTGGCGCGTCGTTCGCAGCAGCATTCACGGCCGCATTGAGGGCAGCCCAGTCCTGGACATGCAGCTCGATGGGTGCCGTCGTAGCGGGGGCTTCGCCTTCAGCGTCGTCTGAATCTTCACTCTCGCTGCCGCCATTTGTCTCTGTGGCCTCGGGCACGTCGACATCTTCCCACTCGTCGTCGGCAGCGTCGTCGCCGGGGCTTGGGAGCGCGTCCTCCCATTCGTCTTCATCGTCGCTCATTTGTTCAACTTCGGTTCTGCGATCTTCGGAATGCTTCGAACTTCGATGCCAGCTGCCGCCAAAATTTATCGGCACTTCAACATTCGTTTTAATAGGCCCCGGTGCAGCCGAAAGCCGATACGGTAGTTGAATCGAATAGCATCTTGGTGATTGGGTAGGGTACCCCCTAAACGTCCATTTTGGTTATCGCGGGACAGGCGCTTCAACTGCGACTTGTCAGCTGCCAACGGACGCAGTCGAAATTGGGATGCGTCCGACGCCCATCGCCATCGCCGAGCCACTGCCAGCGACACCGACGGCCTCGTACCATGCGCTGCCGGAACCTACGCTGCGAATCGATGTCGTCGCCTTTGCTGTACCAGCGCCGCCATCAGCGTTACGCTGGCCATGCCGCCAAGCTGCGCTGGTCCAGATGACGTACTTTTTCCTCTCGCTGCTGCTGCTCAACTTCAGCCTGCTTCTCGGTCTCCTTGGTCTTCTTGCTGCTGGCGCGGGGTACTTTGGTAGCGGTCGGCCCATCGATGGTCGCCGCCGCCGGGCCCTGTTCCTTTACCGTCTCGCCAACGCTGTCCTCCTCACGGGGCATGCTGCCGCGTTCATCTACTTGGCGGTACACGGCAATCACCTCAAGAGCCTTAATATTGGTGCAAGCGTCCTGGGCGTCATTGGTGGCGCCATGAACATGACAGTGCTCTGGTACGGTCTCGTGCACGGTCATCGATACTACTCGGACGTTGTCGTTGTCGCCAGTCGCGCCCGAGTCCATGTATAAGACGGACGTCGCCATAGATCGTATTTATTCGAGCTCGCATCACTAACAGAATGCCATCCCTACAATATGAAGTTCGTGTGCGTCCGAAGAGAGCAAGGCTGCCCCTGTGGTGAAGTCATGCGCAAAGAACAGATATCATCAGCTTTGGCTCCAACTGCGTCCAGCACGGTTGATCGGTCTCGTACTGTACGCGACATCGGCGCACCTTGCGAGCTACTCGTTGAGGCCGCAGCGCCAGCATCAATCAACGAAAGACCTTTAACCGACTGGCGAAGAGCAACGTCGCGCTCATGAAGCGTTCGGGTATCATGCTTCACCCATCTCGCCGTGCTTGTCAAACCTTGAAGCCGTGTTTGTGGACCCCATGCGCACAAAGAAGGCGCGACGGACGAGACAATGGTGTTTCCAAGATGCAGAATGCCCGCACCTCCGCTCTGTGTGGATTGATGGTAAAGCCCTAGTGGTAGTCTTCCACGGAAGTCGCATCTCTTCATTAGACAGGAGCAAATTATGCAGACAACTATGTTGAGCTAAGGCGAAGCCAGCAAAGACACCGTGTGAGGGAGCGAGTAGCCCAGCACCGCGACGATAAGCGTGTAGCCCAAGGTCACGATCAGCACGACAGAGAAGATCGAGAAGATGAGGCCGACGCGAAGGAAGTCCTGGACCTTGAGGTAGGGCTCGCCATGGTCGTCGAGGACAAGCAGCGAATTGATATTGGGGAACGACGCAAACGGCAAACCCATTGCTACACAGCTGATAAAAGATCAGCCCGAAAATAGGCGACGCACCGGCGGATATGGCGAGGGCGCAGCAAATCACAGGGATGTGCGGGTGGCCAATCTCAACGCTTAGTTGTACGATGATCGGCAGCAGAATCAGCGACGCGACCGTATGCGAGATGAACGTCGTGAGGCAAAGCACGAGGAGGCAGAGCATGACGGTTGTGAGCCACACGCTGCCGCTGGGGAGCGCTTGAATCAACGAGTGGCTCAGTGTTGTAAGCAGCCCCGATCGCTGGACCGCCTAGTCGAATATATCTATTTAGGCAAAAGTGTATAACGAGACGAAATCACACCTCGCCAAGAACATTGCCGCCCGCAATGAGGAACAGAATGTGCCACGAGAACGAGTTGAAGTCAAACTGACTCAAGATGCCAGTACCGAAGAGCGTAAACTAGACGCCAGAAGGTCAGAAGAGGCGTGAGAGTCGCAGCATACCATCAGCATGAGCGATATTATGCCCATGTCGCCGATGGTTTCAGCCATGAACGTGAAGAGCGCCCACATGATGATCGTGAGCATTGTCAAAACGACAACGGCAATGTGGACGCGGTTAATACGCTGCTTTTGGTCGTACACGATTTGCGGGATGTACGTCACGTCGGCCGGATCGAAGACCCAAAGCAAGAAAAGCCAGCACTACAGAGACGCTGAGAATCTAAATGTATCGGAGATAGGAGACACACGAGAATCGTCGCGAAGGTGCAGAAGGGCACCGATATCATCATCCACTGGCCAAAAGAAACGACGTAGCCGGCCTTCTCGAGGTACGACTGCGCCAGAGTGTTCTAGATCGTCAGCGACAGCATTAGTGGTGTGCAGTGCCATAACCCAGATACCTGAAGCGAAGCAATTGGTGTCATCATGCCGCCAAGGTTGCACGCGAACGCGAGACCGATGAGCAGCGTCTTGACATATGAGCTGTTGTGCGGAAAGTCACGAATGATGGGCAAAAGCACCTACAGATTAATGTGTCAGATTCCCAAGAAGCGAACGACAACGCAGCAGACCGAGACGCAGAGAACGGGCGCCGTGTGGTTGTTGATCCACATGGAAAGGAAGAGACCCATGAGCATGATCGCGAGGAGAAAGAAGCGTGGGCGTTTCTTGAAGCGGCGCTGGAGGAAGGCGGCCAAGTAGAGTTCAATCTGGCACTTGGACAATGCCGCCGAAATGGAAAAGCTAATTGGCATGAGTAAAAGTAAATTGCAAGGTTGACGCACCCGCCATGATGAGAATGGTCGTGTGGTTCACGAGCAGTGTCATTGCTTCCTTGGCCGCGCTTTCTACGCCGTGTATGTAATGTTTCAGGCGACACAAGAATGCACATACTGGCGTCGAGAAGCACGTCGGGATTGGCCTTGTTGTTGAGAATGCGAAGGAAGACGACAAGGACGGGCACAAGCAACGACGTCGCGAAGTACGGGACAGCTTCCGTGACCCAGAGCGACGTCACAAAGACGAGCATCGCCAAGCAGCGTTGCTGCACTGGTTGCTCTAACGGATTGTAGTTGGATGAGCATCGAAATCACCTCAATATGTGAGAGTATGTACCGCCAGGAAGGTTGACCATAAGAAGCACGAGGAATAGCGTGCACGAGACGGCAAAGGGCACGACCTTGACCTTGCGGAAAAGCGAGTCTTGATTGCCCTGCTGACGGCGAATGCGACCTTCCATGTTACCAGCCTCGAGCTTGTCCCTGCACAAAAGTTATGACGCGCGTTGCAAGAAAGAGGTACTTCATACTTGGACGTGATCCCAAAGAGGCGATCGAGAAGCCCGTCAACGTCGTTGGACGCATAAAAGTCCTCGCGGTTCAGCTGCTTCATAAAGCCACCAAGCGCGTCTTCACCCGTTGTCTTGTCGAACTTCTTGACGATTTTTCGAAAGCCCGTGTGGTTGAGGTTCACAAACGCCTTGAGATCGATGAGCGTATCGTACGCGTCCTGAATCGCGGCAAACCCGCCCTCGTGCGAGAACGTAGGGTTGTGCGTCGAGACGTGGCCGTGCGCCGTCTTGCCTTCGTCGCGCAGCATGCTCTCAAAGTCCTTGATGTTCTTTGCGATGTTGGTGATCTTGGCGCGGTAAAAGTCGTTCGCAATCTGGATGTTGGCGTTTGTCATGGCCCAGAACTCGGTTTTCGCCTCGGCGATACCCTCGAGATTCAAGTCCGAGCTAGAGAGCGTGGATGGTTCGAGCAGTGGCGAGGCCTCCGTCACCTTCTTTCTACCACTCGCCGTGCGTGTGATACCGCTGGTCGCGTCCTCGTCGCTGCCAGCAGTCACGTTGGGCGGACGTGGAAGCGGCGACTGGCCACGCTTCTTCTCCAGCTTTTCCAGCTTCTGCTTCCCACGTTCGATCTCAAAGGCGACGCGTTTGATGAGCCGCTTGAGCTTCTTGTACTGCACGTAGTACTGTCGCCACTCGACGTTGGCCGTGATCTCGAGCTGCTTCCCAAACTTCATCGGCTCGCGGATTCGAAAATGCGACGAGTGAAGCTTGCGTGCAATTTAATGCACACGACGCATTTATACTACCGTATTTTAATGCATGCGTGCATTCTGCTCAGTAGCGCTTGGTGCATATTAATAAAGAGTGTGTCGCATACGTGGCATTGTATTTCGGCCGCGGGACGACGGCCTCGCGACCACAGATGGAACGGAACGGATCTTGGCAGCAAGCCCAATGCGCTCCACCGCCCGGCGCAGTGGCCACCGCCCATAGCTGTAGCCACCGTGGTCGATCGGCGATCGCGTCCTCAGTGTCGCAGCACCTGACGTCAGGCCTCAACGCACCCACGATTTGTTGAAGCTGCAACGAGAGCGCAAGCGCTGTGCCGCGCAACGGCTGCAAGGCAGGATCTGCGCATGATGCCCTTGGAATCCTAAGCTTAGAAAGCAGAGACGACACAGGTCATTTCTGGGCCAAGGGCGATAAACAGGCGAGACGGGCCGCGACATGCGTAGGGCGCGCATGTACCGGGTACCCACGCTGAAGCGAGATACTGGACGTTATCCTCGACAGTCATGTGCTCTCGCGAGCATACTCGCCATGCCTTGAGACCACTCTGTGCACGGCAGGGCCAATAGGCGTCCATTTACGCATCCATGCTGCTGCCCGCCAGGAGAAGGTTCCCACACGAAGTTGCTCAAGGATTTATTTTATTTTTGATACAAATCAATGTAGAATAAAATAATTATCGCCTGCCCAGCCATTGGTTTTTCAACAAGCAAGGCAAGAAGCATGACAGACGAGGTCGCACTGCAGCAATGGCTCGCGCCGTGGCCCAAGATCCAGGACCAGCTCAACCTCCTCCTTGTCGGTCTCAAGCGACGCCAGATCACGGGCTCGTACGAGACGTCGCGCAAGACCACGGAGCTGCTCCGTGCTGTGCTTGGTGCTGTCCGCTTTACGCACGCCCGGCAGCTCATGGAGCACATCCGCATCCTTGGTCGCGTCCTCATCAAGGCTATCCCGCAAGAGCTCGCGATTGGCAACGTTATTCGCCGAGTTCTCTTTATCGTGCGCGAAGAGTACCTAAACGGGATGAAGGCGCTGTCGTCGCAGACGCAGGCGCAGCTCTCGCTCGGCACGATTCTCACGCCGGGCATGGAAGACGACTTCACGACGCCCATCAAGGAGCTTAAGCAAGCCATCATGGAGGGTGTGAGCGAGCTCATGGATGAGATCGAGAACCTCCACATCAGCATCGCGGACCAGGCCATGGAGTACATTCACGCGAAGTACGCATCGCTGCTTATCCCAATAGCCTTCGCAACTCGTCTCACACGTTTCATTTCACTAGCGAGGTCATTTTGACGTATGGTCTCTCGACGTCTGTGGAAGAGTTCCTCAAAGCGGCTGCCAAGAAGCGGCAGTTCAAGGTCATCGTTGTCGAATCTACGCCTGTTCTCAATGGCCAAGTACCGTGCCAATGAATTTGCATGCGACCAACTCATTGGACCATCAATCATCCTAGAACATGGCCCATCGACTCGCAGAGAGTGGCATCGACACGACCGTCATCACAGACAGCGCCGTCTTTGCTATGATGGCCCGTGTCAACAAGGTGCAGGACGGAGTTACTCTGAACGATCTCTAATCTGGTACATAGGTGGTGATTCCGGCCATCGCTGTCGTTGCCAACGGCGGTCTCATCGCGCAGTCTGGGATTCAAAACATCGCTCTCGCAGCCAAAAAGTTCTGCGTGCCCGTCGTGTCCGTTGCCGGTCTCTTCAAGGTACGTAGACCGAGAGTTCTTCCTCAGAATTGTGACTCATCAGCATTCGTAGCTCTGCCCGCTGTACCCGCACGATCTGGACGTCCTTAACGAGCTCGTGTCGCCGGCGCACATTCTCAACTACGACGAGACCCTTCCCAACGTTGAACCTCTACGGCAGGCTGCATCTTACTGCTGTTTCTAGATGGATGTCTTGAACCCGGTGAACGACTACGTGCCGCCCGAGCATGTGACCATCTTCATCACAAACACCGGCGCGTACCAGCCGTCGTATATTTACCGCTTGCTGACCGAGTACTACTCGCCGCAGGACTATCAATTGGTCTAAGCCGCCAGTGACAAGAAGAATATACGCACGAAGTAATGTAGCATTTCTTCAGTGGTCCTTAGCTCACATGGCTATGCAGAGAGAGCAGAGATGGTGGATGGAAAGCGTGGAAACGGGACAGATGACGGGAAAGATCGTTTACGCGAACCGGCGCGTCCACTCCATGGCCGTGCGCAAAGCACCGGGTTCGTCCGTCTTCCAGTGGTCGGCAACGTCATTCGCAAGCGGATCATCGGGGTTGGCGCTGAGAGTAGCGCCTGGATGCTCAGGAGCACCGTGCGGATCTGGAGCGCGGGCGACCACTTGTCCTTGAGGATGTCGAGGCAGATGCGCCCGAGCTTGTCAATGTTCGGGTGGTAAATACGAGTCAGGAACCGGACCTTGGGTGGCGCCATGGGGTAGTCAGCAGGCAGAAAGAGCTCGAGCTTGAAGATGCCGTTCTCGTACGGGGACGACTGAGGCCCGGCGATCACGACCTGGAAGTAACGGAGGTTGTCCTCGTACGGAGTAGCGCTGATGCCCGGTACTACGCAAGATGCACATACAGACGTCAACCACTCGATCTGGATTCCATCTCCCGTCATGCGTACCGGGCTCCGCGAGGAGTCGCTGCGTTTCCTTGACGATGCGACGGGGGAGATTTGCCGCGTTCGACATGGCGTCAGGAAGCGATTCTGTGAAGTGAACGCCCGCACGAAAGAAAATTCAGAATCGACGTTTGATTGGATAAAATTCTGACCGTGCAACGGTTCTAACCGGACGGCTCAGTCGTGCGGTTGGATCTTACCGCTGCAAGGGCCTGCAAGGTCGCATCACGGGATGGCATCGTCGCGCCGAGGAGGCCAACGCAGAGAGCACTACTAGCGGCAGCGTATTCGAGGCAGTCCGCAATCGTATGACCTTGCGCCAACATGGCAGCGAATGCGCCACGGAAGCAGTCGCCAGCCCCGGTAGTGTCGACGACAGTTGTCTTGAAAGCGGCTTGCTGCGTGACGGAGCCATCCTCGGCGATGAGAACTGCGCCGCTCGATCCGCGCGAAACGAGGAGAGCTGTGCGATGATACGTGTCTTGGAGCATCTTGGCGGCACGGACGACATCGTCTAGCGTCAGTAGGGGTGCGGAAGCGCCAATGCAGCGTTGGAGCTCGGTCTCGTTGGGGCACATGTAGTCGACGTACTGCAAAAAGTCGGCGTCGATAGCGCGTTCTTCACCTCCGAGGTCCCAGAGAACGATCGCTCCTGCAGCCTTCGCTTCCATAGCAACGAGCCGGTTGACGCGGTGGGGAATTTCGCATTGAAGCAGCACAACCGACGCGTTGCGAATGCTCGCCTTCGAGCTTGGAGAAAGCTCTGTCGGCCACGCAGCATTCGCTCCTGGTACGATTACGATGGCATTTTCACCCGATGGCATGAGGAAGATTGTGGCCTGGCCTGAGACGACGTCCGTGTGCACGGTGCTCGACGCATCGACCGTCACACCAGCATCCCGCAAATGTGCTTGCATGCGGCTGGCATAGTCGTCGCCGAACTGGCCGAGAAAAGTGGTCGGGGCGCCGGCATGAGAGGCCGCGACAGCTTGGTTGGAGCCTTTGCCGCCAATGAGGCACCGAGACCCCGTCGCACTAAGCGTCTCGCCCGGCAGTGGAAGTCGCGTGACGTCCAGAAAGATGTCAGCGTTGATGGACCCCACGACGAGGACAGATGGCGATGGCATGGCAGGGAAAGGTTGAAAATGACGACCATTTTCGTCCACCTCAGCCTCAGTTGTTTAACGCGTTTTATTCATGGGTTAAACATGGTGAAAACAAAAAACTGAATGCACCCACCACCATACGGGTACCCATCACGAATGACTAAAGACAACTGCTCCTGCACGCACCGGGGCCAAAAAGACTTGCTATTTTCAATGTTGTCATCGCTACTCTGTGGTGTGGGTCGTTGACCATGGTTCCATGGCCATCAAGCGACGACCGAGGGGCGAAAATTTGTGTTCGGAGAAGCGCTCATCAACTTTTCCTGGGCTTGCGCTGCCTTTCTGCCAATGGTCAGCGGGCAGTAAGCGAGCTTCGTACCGGCGAAGTTGCTCCTTCGCGTACGCTTCGTTGATGGGGACACGGGGAAGAAAGCCGGTATAGATGACCTCTCGAGGAATTGAACCGACGTGGCGGTAGCTATTGGCGTGCGGGATGCGCCAGTCGAAGAAGATGACGCTGCCGGCGCGGCATGGAATGTGCTCGTAGCGGCTAATGACGCGGTTGTCTTCTTGCATGCGCAACGGCGAGAAATCACCAAGGCAGACCGGTGGCCTCGCGTCAGCAGAAGCGTGGCCTGCTGTGGCAAAGTACCCAGCAAACTCTTTGTGAAAGCCGCGAACGGCTTCAAAGCCACCAGTGGACGCATCGAGGTTGTCAGTAAGCGCTGTGATGCACTGGATGGGGCGCCAGCGCGGAAATTCCTTCCCCGTGGCGTACATGTTGGTCGGACAGCAGTCGACATGTGGCGTCAAGGACCGTTGAAGTTGTTTCTTGCTCTTGCGCTTCGACACGCCATCGACTGCGCCAGATGAGATTGCATCAGGCACGCGGTAGCAGACGCGGTTCACGTAGATATAGCCCTCTGTCGCGTTGAACTCGCCAAAGGGGTGGCGGAAGAGGTCCAGTTCGCCCGACGCGTACGTCGCAGCCCAGAGCTCAGACATGGCCTTGAAGACGCGAGGATGTTCGGCCACAGTAAGGCGCCATGACGGATAGAAGAGATCGAGGATCCCACCGGCGCCGCCTGTGCTGGAAAGCAGCTTGAGGTTTACCGCCGTTGCTGGAAGGTCATCGTGGTCCTACACGCCCCGTCATGAGAAATGGAGCCAGCTTTGACCTGTCACAACGTACAACGCCATAGCTCTTGAGTTCATCGTGGAGAGAGGCGCGCGCACTAGCAACCTCGCTTGGCGTCAGCACGTCGTCGACAACGAGGACGCCAGTATCGAGGAACTGCTCAATTTGCGTCAGCGACAGCATCTCAAAGACAAAAGCAATGTGACGCGACTTTGCACCAATTTATGGTGTCCAATCAAAAGTCAGGATACCAAAGAAATGCCTCTAGGGGAATGCGCCATTTATATGGTAAAGTGGCAATTTATGGCGCAGCCGCATAAGAAAAGAGAGGGAAAAGATGCTGGATCCTATTTTATCATCGTTTTATTCCGGTGCGAGTGTGCGAAGCGGCAAGTGGCAATCCACGGACACCGTCGTCAGGTGAGCTGATTACGCAATCCTACCACTGGGCGCCATAAGTAGACCGCCCAATCACCTCCCTGGATTCTACCTGCCGTCCAATGAGAATGCAGCGACCGCTGGCTCGGGGCGCGTTGTAATTGGACAAAAAGGGTCGAGTTTATCCCAAGCAGCCAATCGGCAGTGGTAGCAAGCGAGTAGGAACTTGGAGACGCACGGTGGGTTTCAGTATGGTGAGGCCCCAACCATACAAAGATCGGATCATTTCTATTTTCTGCTCCCAACCGTCGCAGCATCAGATGCCGCCCGCAACCGGCACGGCGCTGTCCTCGCCCCCAACGACATGAGCAGGCGCGTTCTACGTCCCTCGCTCGCCTCGTCCTCCACGCGACGCTCGCCTCAACCAACGAGCTCTCGCCATGTCCTGCCCACGCGCCCAGCTCGTCCACGGCGCGCTCAGCTCGTCGCGCCCTCGCGCGGCTTGTTCTCCAGGTCGTCGGCTTGTCAGCGGCGCGCTCGGCTCGTCCTCCAGACCGCCGCCTCGTTCATTTTCGTGCCGCGTCGGGAGCCCACGACCCCGCTGCGACACCACGCGCCGGCGTGCCTTCTCAAGGACCGCTGCGGGTCGCTGCTCACCGCGCCGGCTGCTGTGGCAAAAACGATGGCGGCAACGGCCTCTACTGCTCGATGTACGACATGCCACGCGGCGCGTCGACCCGACCGATGCGACGAAGCGTGTGCCTGGTGGCCACTCCGCACAAGTAAGATGAAGCAACAAAGGTTAAACTTCATGTGTCAGTATAATTGGCAATGTGTATGGAGCTACGAAGCGTGTCTCGTGTACGCAGAGAGCGCGCTTGTTTGAGCCATGCGAAGCAGCTCCGCGGTTGTGGCGACTGCAATCTGTCGTTGGCATTCGGCACCCGCAATGCATCTGTCTACGCAGTCCAGCGGCCTATTCGCGGAGAGCACTATGTGATACCCGAGTAGGGCCTCCGTTGGCAACCGTAAGCTGCCTCAACAACAGCGGCATAGCGCCGATCTCGCGCCCTGGAGCGCCCCGACGCAATAGAATGCGAAACCCGACCCTTTCGCAATCGATCGGCGGGGTCTGTATTTCTTTTCAGAGGATATAAAGTTTCAATCAAGCAAGCGGCTTTTGGCCTACTCGCCCATTCCAAGTGCGCATTCCCAGAAATGCCGAAAGAGCTCTTTATTTATTTTATTATTATAGTCACAGAAATATATAATTGCTACAGTTCGCGCCCTACCGCAGTAAGAAAGTCGTGTTGCTGTCTATCCGACTCCCTTGTTCTGCCCAAGTTAGTCCAGTCTTCAGTGCTGACAGCCATAATGCTTCGAAATGGCGTCCTAATGTTGAAGACAGTACGGTAGCTTACAAAGCTGACACAATTTACAGTAGCGCTCAAAGGAGCCTACAAATCAGCCTACAAATACGTCTGCAAATACGTAGTAGTTCCATGGGTATGTTGGGGTGCTATTAGTATTTACATTGCATTGCGCAAACACTTGTTCGTGCCAGAGCTGCACTGGAGACCACATAACGACTCCGCTCGAATGTGCCAGTGCAGACCGACCTTTTATCCTATCTCCTGACTCAGCTGCAAACACTGTACACAGGGGCAACGGCGCTTGGACACAGACCAAAACAGAGGTGTCGTGATTCAAACACCGTCACTCTGGCTACAAAGCGTGGGTAGGGAGCGCACTGTTATCAAGACAAAGTGTCTCGTGTGTCCGAGCGCTTCCAAAACCAGCGTAAATACCATGGGCAAATACACTGGCAATGAACAGCCCGCACCATCACAAGATTATTTTCGCGCGTATGATTGGCCGAAATCCTGGCAGCTTCAAGTCGAACGTATCCGGATATTCGGATACGAAGCAGGGTGGGGTTTCGGTGGCTCTCATTTCCAGGATTGGTGTCTGAAGAGCATCAAAATGACGAAGACGTCACCCCACGCAGATGTGCGCCTGCCCGAGCGCCTCAGCTTCCCGGACCAAGAGCTTGCGACGCTGGAGCTCTGGAAGGAGCTTGACGCGTTCATGACGTCGCTTCGCCTCTCGAAGGATCGCAAGCCGTTCACGTTCTACGACGGGCCGCCGTTCGCGACGGGCTTACCGCACCACGGCCACATTTTGGCCGGTACGATCAAGGACATCGTGACGCGCTTCGCGCATCAGACGGGGCACTACGTCGAGCGCCGCTTCGGCTGGGACTGCCACGGCCTCCCGATCGAGTACGAGATCAACAAGAAGCTCAACGTGCACACGAAGGAAGATGTGCTCGCGATGGGCATCGCTGCGTACAACAACGAGTGCCGCGGTATTGTGCAGCGCTACACGAAGGAGTGGGAGTCGACGGTGACGCGCCTCGGTCGCTGGATCGACTGCAAGAACGACTACAAGACGATGGAGCCGTGGTTCATGGAGTCGGTCTGGAACGTCTTCCAGACCATGTTCAACAAGGACCTTGTCTACCGTGGCTTCAAGATCCTTCCGTACTCGACGGCGTGCAACACGTCGCTCTCCAACTTTGAGGCCAACTCGGACTATCGTGACACGCCCGATCCGAGCGTCGTCGTCAACTTTCCGCTCGTCACGGACGCCAACACGTATCTCCTTATCTGGACGACGACGCCGTGGACGCTCCCATCCAACTTGGCTGTCTGCGTCAACCCGGAACTCGACTACGTCAAGGTATGGCGCCTCCCAGCATCCACCGATCGTACCGTCCATGTTTCTGTTTTAGGTCAAGGACCTCAAGTCTGGCAAGTTCTATATCATTGCCGAATCGCGCCTCGTGCAGGTGTACCCGAAGCTTGAGAAGAAAGGCTACGTCGCGGGCTCCGAGTTCGAGAAGGTTGAAAGCCTCAAGGGTGCGGCGCTCGTTGGCTTGGCGTACGTGCCGCTTTTCGACACGTTTGCATCGTGGCCGAATGCTTTCCACGTCATTGGCGACAGCTACGTCTCGTCCGACAACGGTACGGGCCTCGTCCATCAAGCACCGACGTACGGTGAGGACGATTACCGCGTCTGCTTGGCCAACGGCATCGTCGACAAGGTCACGCTTCCGGACCCGCTCGATGACAACGGCAAGTTTACGAGCCAGGTGCCGCTCGTGGCCGGCCTCCACGTCAAGGAGGCGGACGACGTGCTTTTGAAGGACCTCAAGGACCGCGGCCGTCTCGTGTCCAAGTCGACGTTTGTGCATAGCTACCCGTTCTGCTACCGTAGTGGCACGCCGCTCATCTACCGTGCTGTGCCGGGCTGGTTTATCAACGTCGAGAAGATCAAGGACAAGATCATCGCCAACAACCAAAAGACGTACTGGGTACCGGCCTTTGTGAAGGAAAAGCGCTTCCACAACTGGCTCGTGGACGGCAAGGACTGGAACGTGTCGCGCAACCGGTTCTGGGGCACGCCACTTCCGCTCTGGGTCTCGGACGACTTTGAGGAGGTCGTCTGTATCGGCTCGATCGAGGAGCTCAAGCAGAAGTCGGGCGTCCAAGACATCACGGACCTTCACCGCGAGTTCATCGACGACATCACGATCCCGTCGTCGAAGGGCAAGGGCGTCCTTCGCCGTGTCTCGGAGGTCTTCGACTGCTGGTTCGAGTCGGGCTCGATGCCGTACGCGCAGCAGCATTACCCGTTCGAGAACAAGGAGAAGTTCATGAATGGCTTCCCGGCCGACTTCATCGCCGAAGGCCTCGACCAGACGCGTGGCTGGTTCTACACACTCATGGTCATCGGCACGGCGCTCTTCGACCAGCCGCCGTTCAAGAACCTCATCGTCAACGGTCTCGTTCTTGCAGAAGATGGCCGCAAGATGTCCAAGTCCCTTCGCAACTATCCGGACCCGAACGACATCTTGTCCAAGTACGGTGCCGACGCGCTTCGCCTCTACTTGATCAACTCGCCCGTCGTGCGCGCCGAGCCGCTTCGCTTCCAGGAGGCCGGCGTCATGGGCATCATCCGTGATGTCTTCCTTCCGTGGTACAACGCTGCTCGCTTCTTCGTGCAGCAGGTGGCGCGCCTCGAGGAGGCCTCTGGCGAGACATTTGTGCCGACGTCGCTCGCTGACGAGAGCGTCGTCTTGAGCAACACGATGGACGCTTGGATCGTCGCGGCGCTGCATTCGCTTGTGCAATTTGTCAAGACCGAGATGGCAGCGTACCGCCTGTACACGGTCGTGCCGCGCCTCATCGAGTTTGTCGACCAGCTCACCAAGTGGCACGTGCGCCTCAACCGCAACCGTCTCAAGGGTGCGGAAGGCCACGAAGCCGCGCACATCGCGCTCTCCGCGCTCTTCGACGTGCTCTACACGCTCTGCAAGCTCATGGCACCCTTCACGCCCTTCTTCACGGAGTACATGTACCAGTTCCTCAAGCTTTACCACCCCGTCGCGCACACTGCCAAGACGACGACGACTCCCGTCGAAGACGCGGACGGTGTTGCCAAGAGCGTGCATTACCTCATGATCCCGGACTTCGACCCGAAGCGCCTCAACGCGGAAGCCGAGGCGCGCATGGCCAAGCTCCAGCAGGTCATTGAGATGGGTCGCGTCGTGCGTGAGCGCCGCGCCATCTCGCTCAAGAACCCGGTCAAGAGCGTGATCGTTGTCACGTCGGACGCGTCGGTCCGTACGTCGCTCGAGTCGGTCAAGTCGTACATCCATGACGAACTCAACATGCGCGACCTGGTCTTCGCCGCCGATGAGAAGGAGTGGTGCAGTCTCAAGGTCGAGGTCAACAACAAGG